GGACCTTGGGGGGTGGACAAGTCAGGGAGTGCGGGTATGGACCCCATTTCCGCATTCCTGTGGCAAGCTGCCCCCCAATTTTATTTGCACCTTATACACTTCCACCAATGACATTCCACGCAAACACACACATAGGGCCTTGGGAGTGAGCACATTCAACGGCACTTGGCAGGGGGATTTCTCAGCCTCCTCCCGAGTGCCAGTGCCCACTTCCAATTTTAAACTGCACTTAGACACCGAGGGCTGTGGGTGCAAGTGGGGTGGTGCGGTGGCATCAGCTGGCATAGGCCAGACAAGGCCCGCACTGCCCGCTCACCACAGCCATGGAATACACCTCATCAACACACAACACTATATTGGAGCAGGCGGAGGGAGACTAGGGGTTTTAGCACACCTCTGTTGTTGCTTGGCTTCCTGGGGCTGGAGGCTACGAGGGAGATCTGGCCATCTGGTTGGGGTCTGGGGTGGTGGGTTGCTGTGCTCAGCGTTGGGCGGGGGAGCCTGCTCATCAGCACCCCAGCAGAAAGGGTCAAACTCTGGTAACTGGTAATGGTTGTACCCAATGTGCAGCAGTACCGGGACCAGAGTGAATAGGGTGTGTATGGGGAGCACGAGTGGGTGTCCGGCGTGCATTTTTGTAAGTCTTTGGTTGTATGTGCATGTGTGAGCATGAGGGAGGGAGTGTGTGACTGTGTTTGTGTATGACTGTATATGTCAGGTGGGGCCTTTGACTCCTCTCTTCTCCAGGGACTTCTTTTGATGATATAGATCTTCGTCTCCCCTCCCCCTGCCACACCTGGTGTGGAGTGTGGTGCCTTGGTCTGCCTGAGTGTTTGTGGCTCCTGGGTCAGGGGGTTTAAGATTTTTGGCGTCTGCCTGATCAATCCCGGTGGCTGCCTGGTCCCTGGGCTCTGCTGGGTCCCCGGCGGGGGTGGTCGCCCCTGGGTCCTGGGTCGCTGAGTCCCGGGCTCGGCCAGCTAGGGGGTGGGAGGCTGCGGGCGGGCCTGTGGGCTTGCTGCTGATATCTCCCGGGACTCTGCCGGCTGCTGGTTGTGGCCCCCCGGGGCGATCCTCTGTGCCTCTCGAGGGGGGCGGGGGCCTTTCTGGTTGCAGTCTTCTTGGGGTTCCTGTGTTCTGGGGCAGCGCCTGGATCTCTGGGACTTGGAGCTCCGCCCGTCTCCTACATATATTTGGGGGGCAGATCTGTGGTCCCTCACACTCTCTATTGGATGCTTTTATAGAGAAACCTTACATAAACAAGCGTGGGTACACACACAGGTGTTCACATGGTGCTCTCAAAAGTATGGGCTTGGGCATGTTCAACACATGTCTTAGGGCTGTCGTTGCCACTAAATGCACTATGATTTATTATCGTGTGAATGTTCAGTTAAACAATGTTGATTTTATATTTCATCATCAGGTTGAAACAGTGATAGCTTGCTCCTGATGTAATGTTGTGTGTCCCATTTTTTTGTTCTATTCTTTCTCTTTCTGCAGGTCTAGAAGCAGACTCTTGTTCATTATTGTTTATTTTTGTGGAACCCCCCCCCCCCCCCCGGCCCCTCTCTCCCCACCTTTTATTTTTTCCTTTCTCTTTCACCTCTGACTCCGTGTCTGGTTGGAAATACAAAGCATTCAAAAACAATAACAAAGTTTTAAGTATCAGGTGTGACATTAAAAGCAGACGCTTTGATGCTCCACCTGAGAGTAAATCTGTAAGGCTTGTTACCAGCATTCAGACATCAATTCTGTTTGCTTCACAGCCAGACAGGACACGGTAATAAATAAATAAATAAAAGAGTTAGGCTTAACACGACAGAATTTGGAATCTTATCTCCTGAAATTTGGACATCTCGCCTCTGATTGGATAACAGAAACACGACTCTGCCACTTACTCTGTGCTGCAATGATTCTCAATTTCATTGGATGACTCCAAGGTAAGCCATTCTGTATATGTAAAAAAATATTCTGGCTATGAGCCATAAGCAGAGCTCCGTCGTAGGGGCAGAATCTATGGTTGTCCAGCATGCAACTGGACCGCACAATCAGAGCAACAAATATTATGACAAATTCATAGCAACAACAATCAGTCAATGGGGCAGTCTACCATACATTGCCAAAGTGCTGCTATCAGCTCATGTCTCAAAGAAAAACCCACGTCTAAATCGTGCACAGCTGATGCTAAAGCCATTTCAAACGAGTGGCATACCTGAGCCACTGCCGCACTACTACTAAGGTTACCGTAAATCCTCTAATACAGGCCTGGGCCTGTATTTGACTCAAGCTAATCAAGCTCCAGGCCTTTATTGGAAGGAGGACCAGAATTAGAGGCAGGCCTCTATTTCTATTTGAGCAAAATGAACTAATCGTTCGCTGGAGTTTTTGACAATTAAAATTGCGCCCACATTTTCAAAGTTAAACACATTTCTTTTAACAACGGTAGTTTCTGCTTCAGCCATCTCCCCCCTCCCCCCGTGCAGCGGCCGCAAACTCACTGATGCGCCTGCAGCCTCTCCTGCTGCTCTAAACATTAAAATAATTATTTCATTTTCTGTTCCTCACTTCTGATTACCTTCAGTGGTGTCTGTTTGTTGCAACCACCAGGTACAAAAACTAACTTGTTTTTATTTGACAATTTTTCTGTCCTGTCTCTGTTTATTATCTTCCTGCATCTCCTCTCAATCCTAAAGAAAAACTGCTACCTGGGTTCACATATATTCACCTTATGAGTTACCATTGAACTGCAGTTCTAAAGGATCTACCGACCGCAAAAACAGCGGAGTGCTCGCTGCTTGGCGGCCGCATCAGTGATCGGTGCGTCGGAGGACAAGGTGATGCGCCCCGCTCCACAGCAGCGAAACGTATCAGGCGCAAATAAAAGACAGAAAACATTAAAGGAAATGAGCCGACATGAACGACCGCGTGTTAAATTAGTTTTTGAGGTGGCGACACCTAATTTGATAATGTTACTGTGGCCATGCTCAGGACGCAGATCTACCGACCACAAAAACAGCGGAGTGCTCGCTGCTTGGCGGCCGCATCAGTGATCGGTGCGTCACCGGAGGACAAGATGATGCGCCCCGCTCCACAGCAGCGAAACGCATCAGGCGCAAATAAAAGACAGAAAACATTAAAGGAAATGAGCCGACATGAACGATCGCGTGTCAGTACCGACGATCTGGCACAGCGCGTTGCCCCCCCCCACCCCACCCCCCCACCCCCACCCCACCACCCCCCACCCCCGACGCGCAGGAGGCTGCTGTCTTTTCCGTGGACTGCATCTTGCCGTTCATTATCACGTGACAGCGACTAGTCGATGACAGGCATAAAAAGTCACTATAGTGAAGTCGACTAGTTCATACAACCCCTGCTACTGCTCCCCAGAGTGTTCTGCAGCATAATCAGCAAGTTCTCTTTGAACTTGATATCAAATTTTCGCCTCCTCTTCGTCTCCGCACGGTTAAAGTTACCCTTGCGGTCTATCACTGGCAAATCAAAAGTGAGACGGATGACACAACCACCACCCCATACTCGCTTGTTACCACATTCCACCTGGCCACAATAAAATACCGTCCATTATTCACCTCCGCCGACTCCGACACCGGCCAAAATATGAGACCCGGCCGTTAACTGAATACAGGACAATATTAGAGGATTTACGGTAGTCAATATTTCTAGGCTACAAGGACATCACTCCAGTTCATCAATTCTGAACATTAAAAGAAATTGCACAACAAACTTATTCTCAAAAGAATCCAAAAGGGTTCGAATGAACGCAACTGGAGTTTTTTGGTTTCTTGAAGATGTTTCACTTCTCACCTGAGGAGCTTTGTCAATTCTGACTGGAATATGAGAGGGTCAAGCTTATAAGCTGTAGCTGTCCATTGTAGCTTAATGAGCAGAAACTAACTATGAATGTCTTCAAGAAACTAAAGAAGTCCAGTTGCCCTCATTTGAACCCCTTAGGATTACCATGACCTGGATTACTGAGAACCTTCACCAGCATATTCCCAAAATAGTCGCAAAGTAACAGTGGATGTTCTGAACCAGTCCTCGACCCTTCTCCATTTTGTTTGTGAAAATGTGAGAGCAGTTTGCAACCTAATTTGGAATTAAATGAGAGTAAGGTATGACCAAACATAATTAAGACACTTTCTGCCTCCATTATTAATTTGTTTTCTGAAACACTTATTCCTCAGTAGGGTCAATGGTGCATGTGTCCAGCAGTCACCCAGCGAGAGGTGAGGCACAGCCTGGCTAGACTGTGACAAAGGTTACCTAAAATGAGCAATCAGTCTAGAAAACATTTTTTGCAAAAGTGTCATATAAAATCATTGCGCCTGAAAACTAGCATTTTTTTTTGTTTTGCAATTTTGTGTCTCCGACGGGTCACAACCAGTGAGATTCTGGCTTAACCGATAGTTAGGGTCCACAATAACACTACAGCTTTGTAAATCCGCTACTGTCTACCCTGATCTCTATGGATTTGAATTTGCAATAGCTGTGGAATAACCAGTCAACCTCTAGCCTAAATGGCACCAAAAACTGTCCAGCTTAAATAAATTCAATGAACAGCACTTAGACTTCATTTAATTTAGCAGACACTTTAATCTAAACTTATCTTAAATGAGAGGAGTACAGCGAGTAGGGAACCGATAGCATCTTGCCCGAGACACTTTGACGTGAGCAAGAAAAGTTTAGAAAAATTCAACGACCTTCACACTGAAGGATAACCATTCACCCTTCAGAGCTACTGCTCTTCTTACCAATAACTTCTGTTTAAATTGCACACACTGATAACAATATGCTGTAAGAGCAGTAGGTATGTGGGAGGTATTGTTCTGGGCAGATTTTTAGCTATGCAACAGCCGAAGACTCAGGGAAGTTTACAGTAAGACACATTCAACCATGAAAAAAACGAATGTGTTCTCTTACGGTTTGAATTTAGGCAAAAACTGCATTTCACATCACAAAATACCATTTTAAAGTCATGTACTCACTTATCAAAACTGTCACTGTTTTTTATGAATTCATCCAGTTTCTGTCTAGCGTACTCAACAACGTCCTTGTGGAGCTCAACTCCGTGGTTTACACCGAATGGTCCTTGAGAGAAACAATGAGAGAAGACAGAATAATGTTTTACTTAAGTCTGGCTTGACGTTAAATGTCTAACTACTGTCTTATTGTGTTACTATGAGCTTTCTTGATGCAGAAAAACAAAGTATTCAAACATTTCTGCTGTGATAAAGAAGGTTTTAGGGTTACCTATGATGAGGCCAACCATTGTGCTCAGGTAGCCAGTTCCACTGCCCAGATTAAGGAAAGAAAGTCCTGGCTTCAGTTTGAGAGCCTCCATCACCTCTGAGTATATACATGGAGCTGACAGATGTATGTTCCCATGCTTCCAAGCCAAGTCTTTGTAGGCACTGTCCCGATAGCCATCCAGATAATAGTCGCCGCGGTCAATGGCCCGAAACGCTTGCTCAACTTTCTCTGTGCGAATATACTGAGCCTCCTTCAGATTGTCGATGAGGTCGTCGTTGTCCTCCCCGGCGCTCACAGCTCCCCCCATGGCCAAAGGAAAAGAGACGCACAAGGACTGAAGTCGTAATCTGGCTGAGTGAAACCTGCTCACTGCGGCATGGAGGTGTAGGCTGGTGGAAGGATTCCGCCGACTTCAGTCGACCAATTGGTTCAGACGGCATTCATTTCCAGGTAGGAAGTGACCTGAGAAAAAATATTGTTAGCATATAACACTAATGTATCTAGGGAAGGTTGTGGTTCATAGAAAGTGTAATCAGTTACCTTTGCATTTCCTAAATTCACAAGAGCAAGATATCTGCTGATTTAATTTTATTTTAAAATAATGATTATTTCTGAGTAACATCAAATTTCTAGAGCAAAACTGTGTTTTTAGAAGATAAAGTCATAAAAAAAGATTTTTTTAAAACCTTTTTTTTTCTACTATTATACGATTAACACCATTTAGTGGCGGCTCGTCCATAGGGGGCACTAGGGCGCCCTGCCCCCACCAGCCACTGGAAGAAGATAGGAATCACAAAATATTTGAAAAAAAAAAAAAACATGAAAACTAAAATAAACTGATCCATACAAAATACAGACTTTAAGCGCTGTGTATAAGTGTAGTTAAAAAAATGTTCTCTCACACTTTTACCACGACCGAATCGTCTTGTGACGTATTTCCTGTTCCTTTTCAAATGCAGCAATCTTTACCATCGACCTACGGTATAACTGGCGTATGCGCACTTTATTATGGAGAACCAGAAAATAATTAAATGTGGCGTTGGAGACTTGTAAACACTCTCCAGCAGGTAAAAACAGCCCAAAGCAGTCAGGATTCAGCTCAGTGTGACTTTAGAACTGTGGATTGCACAAAACGAGTAGATATTTTTACTATAACGTGGATTACTATGACCATGGACCAGCAAAGTTAAGACTGATTTTACGCTTTTGACTTCATGAAATTAGCTTTGTTTTGCTGCTGCATTGCTCCGTGACAATTTCAAGTAGAGTAATGGTACATATTTTGTTGTAAGGAGGAAAGTATGGACTTTGATTTAAATGGCTGCTTCTGTGAATAGGAACATATTGCATTGTTGTTACTGTGTGTCTTTTTCAATATGTGTATTTAGCATTTTTTTCTGCCCTTTTTATTTAGCGGCTTATTATCATTGGGTGTTGTTGACGTAGAAAATGGGGATTCTGTCATTTAGATCAGTGTTTCCCAACCCTGGTCGGTTTTCCATGTCTGCTTCAGCATACCTGATTTACACTGCCTGCTCAGGCGGACATCAAGCGCTGCAGATGCATGTTAATCACTCATTCATTTAAGTCAGGTGTGGCAGCAGGGAAACACGTGTTTAAAAAGGCAACATGGAAAACATGCAGGACAGTGGACTAGGGTTAGAGATGAGCCTCTCCCTGTTAAGTATGCAGTTTGCATATTTTGGTGAATATTAAGCATGTTTTTGGAACAACTTAGTTGTTGGAAGTGCTTGTGGACCTGGTACTGGTCTGTTGGGGTTCAAGTTGTGTGATGCATAACAATGGTAATTTGGCACCCCCTAGTGGTGATATGTGGTTATCACATCTGAAAACAGACAGCAAAAATGCGCCCCACCCAAAAAAATGTCAACAGCCGCTGCTGATCATCTTTTACCAAATGGTGTTTTTCCAGTTAAGGTAATTTTTGCCTTTTCCCCTCTCCTGCAGTTTCCTCATTAGATATTCAAACCTCCAGAGTCCCAGGACAATCCCAATCGTTATTACTTTATTTCTCACTTACTTCAACAATTATTTCTTGTCCCATTTTGATCAAATGTTTGCAGCCTGAAGCCAGACAAATGAAACTAGATGTTATTGTAAGTAAAACTGCAGAAACAGGAGGAAAGTGTGCTGGAGATCTTTAACTTTGAGTCAAGCTGCGTTTTCATTTGATGCACCGTCAAACATGCAGGTGTGCAAAGATTGTTTCGGTCTTTCTTTTTTGGAGGCTAGCTGATGCCTGCTGAGTGACTTTAAATGGATAACATTTTCTGTTTCATAAAATTGATTAATTGTTCTTTTAAACCTTTTTCTACGTTGTGCTGTGCGATCCTTAAGCTATTCGGACATCGTTGTGTTATTGGGGTTAAAGTAAAGATAAAATTCAGCTAAACTGGATGGGTCTAACTTTCACAATAAAAAAAACTAATGGTTCTTTGTGAACATTTATATATATTTTAGCTAATATGTCATAACTCATCACACATGCATGCATTTTTTTAATGTGCTTTGAGAACAACAACATCCACCCAAGTGAGTGAAATTTGCTGGAGATGCAGCCCGCGGAGACAAGTTTTGAATTTCTTCTCTGCCTCCTCAGCATCTCTGCATCTGACTCAGCTAATAAAGATTAAAATCAGAGGTGACTTTCTAGTGGGAAGCCTCCTAAGGTAATTTTCCATCTTTTTTTTTTCCTCGCAGAAATAAAAAAATGAAAAATAAATCATTGATTCTCTCACCAGCACTGGACATACAGCAGGGCATTTTTTATCCCCTCCTTTCCCCATCCCCCCTTGGCGGGCATTGGGAGAAAATGCAGGAAAATGGGTCAGAGAAGGTACTCAAGAAAAATGCTTTTTGGCACTGCAGCAGCCTTAGCACTGATAATCCACGGGCATGAGATGGAGATTTTGCTCAACAGTTAACTACAAATTAAGAATCTTGGGGCATTAGCTGCTTCGGTGCAGCAAAGGTTAAGCTAAAAATAATTTCTTTATGTGAAAAAGGAATTTGGAATAATCTTAGATTCTAAGTGTAAAACTACCATTTGAGGACATGATTGGTTGCGTTAACATAGTTAGAGAATGGCTAAACATGTAAGGGATCCTCTAACAGCAGCTCTAGTGCTGTAACTAAATACCAGAGCCCTGTCTGGGCAGCAGACCGGACACACGCAGCTCAAAATGCAGCTCCTAGATCTGGGTTTTTACACCCTAACACTTCCCAATACACCAGAAATTTATTACAGCCATATTATTTAATCTCATGGTAAATTTAATATAACAGGTCTCACGTTTTCTACCTAGAGAGGGTCTGTTTATTATTTTAATGTCCAGATTGTGATTCAAGCTACATTAAGCATGAGACGAATACATGATCTGAGACAAAAATGAATTTAGCACCTTTTAAGGTCCGGTTTATCGACACCACCAGAAGTGTAAACTTAATAAAACGTTTTATTACAGAGAGGACTTGGCCTTATTAAGCTCACTTAAATTCAGGGTTATTGTAACATTGTGATGTGTGTAAGTATTGAGGAGCTGTTTAACGGCAGCTTTACCTTGATCTCAGTAAGGGACATAAAAATGTAAAACCCATTTTCTTTGAGCAACCACAGCGTGACAGCATATGTAAAATTAAGTGGCTAATGAATTTAAATTGCGTTGTAAATAAAATTCAGTCTAACAAGTCAAGAATCCTCCTCTTATGTACAAAAATTCCTTTTTTCCATTAGGTAAAATATCTGACTGCATGAAAGATTTAGTTCAGTGAAAATGGAGTCTAATGGTGATATGTGGTTATACCAAAGACTTCAGCTTCAGCACCACCTTCAGTCAACGCATAGCAGTGAATAAACAACTCTTACCCAAGCCACAATAAAACAAGCAAAAATAACACACTTTTAATTCATTTTCCACAAATTCAGATAACGCCTGATACTTTAATGTAGTCATGGATAAAAATAATCATACTTTTGATGTTTGACATCTTGACAAATATTTTTTCTGTTTTTAAATGATTGGTTTTTTTTTTTACATGTAATAATTTCGTTTAATATCTGTGACGAGTTAAGAGTACAGGACCGCCAGCACAGTCACAGTTCAGGCGCTGAACAAACTTCCAATTGTGATGCATTACTTTGAAATTTGTGGCGGGTGGCACAAAAATAGTACAGTGTGTACCAAAGACAACTTGAAATAAAGTTGTAGCATCCCTGGTCATTCAAACCTTCTGCATCTGCATCCCTGATGAACTCCATAGGTGTGTTTGCATCATTTATCGTGTAAGCAGGTGACATTTAAGCCCAACTTGCTTTGTAAAACTTATCATTCACAAAAAGTACCATGCTGTATTTTACTATGTGTGTATGATGATATTTTTTAATTAGTTAATGAGCGAACAGATATCTATCAAAACTATATTGAACAGCGCTGCAAAGATTGGTCCTGAGTTATTTTTTTGACCTTGTCTGCACTGTGAAGTTAAGCTGAATCAATAGGAAGGTTTATTTTGATTTAAAAATTGAGACAAATCCCGATTGGGTTGCTGAAAACGTTAGACTACAAATGAACAAAATAAAAAATTCAATTTAAACTGGAATTTTAAAAAGTATGCTCTGAGTTGTACGGCTCAGTACACAATCACACAAAATTAAATTTGGCAGATTGCAGCATTGCAGAAATCAAACTTTAAATCTCATATCCCTAAAAACTGCAAATTATCTGTGCATCCTCACCTGAGACACTGGTTTAGGGCTGGGTGATATTGCCTCAGATCAGCATCAGGATATGCGTATTTTGCAGTTCCTGCTGACAACGACAAATAGACAATAACTATTTGGTCAAGGACAAGCTTGTCCCCACCAAAATCATTCGGCAACATTCTAGATCCGGTCACTGCCGCCAGCTTCTGACTGCTGCTACCCTCTGCCCCAGTCCACTGCTTCAATATTTGAATCATCTTCTATTACCTCACTGTTTGTCCCTTCGTGTTACAGACTGGATGGTGACTCACGTGACTCCATCCAGTTCATAGCAGGATATCTTAAAGAAACATAAACATTGGCAACCTACAAACAAACTTTCTCTTTTTTTCCCCAAATACCTAATACACTTACACGAGCAAAATGACATTGGTATTAGACATAAATGTCGATATCAGTAAATTTTCGGTATATCGCTCAATTTCACACTGGTTGCATTTTCTATAAGTCTGTAAATGTTCTCTTATGTTCTTTAGGCGCTTACTCTTACCCCTCAGAAAAGTTTTCATTGTTTACTACAGGCTGCTGCTGGCCATAGGTCCATGTAGCTTTTTAGCAGGTTGGACCCCTATTTGCCTTCAGAACCATCTTAATTCTTGACATCATGGTAAATGGCCTGTATTTGATAGAGTCATTCTAGAGTCCTGGAACCCCCAAGGCGCTTTACAACACAATCAGTCATTCACACATTCACACACTGGTGGGGATGAGCTACAATGTAGCCACAGCTGCCCTGGGGCGCACTGACGGAGGCGAGGCTGCCGAGCACTGGTGCCACCGGTCCATCCGACCACCACCAGCAGGCAACGTGGGTTAAGTGTCTTGCCCAAGGACACAACGACAGTGACAGACTGAGCGGGGCTCGAACCTGCAACCTTCTGATTACGGGGCGAGCACTTAACTCCTGTGCCACCGTCGCCCCTGGATTCAAAAAGGTGTTGTAAACATTCCTCAGAGGTTCTGGTCCACATTAACTTGACAGCATCACACAGTTCCATCCATGATGCGAGTCTCTGGTTCCATCACACTCCAAGATCTGGTGAATGTGGAGGTCGTTAGGAGTCCAGTGACTTCATCATTGTGTTCAAGAAACTAGTTTGAGATGATCTGAGTTTTGTGACAGTGAATTATCCTGCAGAAGTATCAGAGGGTGGGTCCATGTGGTGATAAAGGGATGGACGTGGTTAACAGAAATACCCAGGTAGCCAGTAGTATTAAGGCTTAGGTCGTACTAAAGAGTCCAAGATGCCCCCACTCCATTACACCACCTGAACAATTGATTTAAGGAGAATTAATCCATGCTTTTACATTGCTGACATTGAATTCTGATCCAACCATCTGAGTGTTGCAGCTGAAATCATGATGTATCAGACCAGGAAATATTATTTTTCTAATCTCTTTGTCAAGTTTCTGTGATTCTGTGGGAATTGTTGGCTAATTGTCCTGTTCACCTGAGAGTACTGACACCTGATGTGGTCTTCTGCTGCTGGAGTCCTTTTGCTTGAAGGTTCATCGTATTCAGAGATGGTCTTGTGCCAGCTATGAATGGAACCAGTAGTTATTTGAGCTACTGTTGTTTTTTCTATTATGTTGAACCAGTCGTCCCAAATTTGTCATCGAAACTGCTCCTGACTGGATGTTTTCTCATTTTTCAACCATTCTCAGTAAATCCTAGAAATGGTTAAGGGTCCAAGTAGATCAGCAGCTTCTGAGACACTCTTGCCAGCTTGTATAAACCTCAAATCCCTCGTTTTAATTCTCAGTTTGAACTTCAACTTATTCTAAAGGCATCCTCATGCCTAAATGCACCGAGTTGCTCCACCCGATTGGCTGATCAGTTATTTGCTTTACAAGCACAGGTGTACTTTAAAAAATGGCCCTGCAGGAATTACAAATAAAATCAACTATTTTTAGATGTTACTATTTTATTGTCAACTGGATTTATGGAAAATTGTGTCCACAGATGTTGCTAAATAACCTAAACTGACACCTGATGAAGCCAATCAGCGCCTTATCCGGTCACGTGTTCCCGTTGCCACACAGATAGCGATCCTTCAGCCAATCAGCGGCCTGGACTTTCTCTTCGTACTGCGTGTGACGACGGAGCAAAACAACAACAGCGATTTCCTGAAATGTTTCGAGCTTTATTATCAATCATCAAGGTCCCTTGTTATCCCCACATGTATGAAACCTACTTTGGCTCGAAAAATCCATTAAAGCAGCGTTGAAACACAAAGAAAGCAGCCGCTGAGTTTGGACATTCATCCAGCTTTTGTTCCCACTTGTCGAGCTGTCTCTCTCCCCCCTCTCTCTCTCGCTGCAGTGCGATTAACCCCAATCTTTTAGCTGCAACCAGCCGAACCGGTTTAACCAACACGGATGAAATATCAGCCGTGCAGGTTTTCGCAACAGCTGAAAGATCTAATGGGGCGAACGTAAACATCATGTTTTTTCCAAGAGCCTGTTTCGCACGATGGTGTCACCTACATGTGGCACGGCAGCCTTTCAGTCCGTCAACCTGCTCAAACACCGACATAACTAATTATGTCCGAGTTTTAAACTAAAGTGTCACAAATAAGCCCAACAGTAGATGTGCCGTTGCGTGTTTTTAACGCGGTTTGAGTGAGAGTTTAGCTAGCTAATGTTAGCTTTTTAGTGGGCCTGAGTGCGCCATCATCAAAACAAAGCGGGTTAGGTAAGCTCGTTTATTTACCTTTTTGTGTTTTATTTTGTTCCCCAAACTGACTCGCTACATAGACCGCTAGCTCTGCCGGGCAACCCAAAAACAAAGCCTGCAAACCAAAGACAGGGCAGATAACTCTCCAAGCGCACGGAAGTTATACAAAAAGAAGAAAAATACTCACAACTGTGTCGCATTTACTCACGCTGCTTGCAAGTGAAGACGTGAACGCACCGCTCAATGCGACGCAGGGGGAAAGATACTTTTGATCGCTGACAGGCTGGAAAAGAGTGCTGGTTGGTTGAAAAGCTGAAGAGGAAACGTTGAGCCTACTGTTTCTGAGTGGAGGATAAAAGAAACAGCTGAGAAAATGTAAACACGGCTCACGTGGTCTTAGAGGGGTGTCTATCTATCTATCTATCTATCTATCTATCTATCTATCTATCTATCTATCTATCATCTATCTATCTATCTATCTATCTATCTATCTATCTATCTATCTATCTATCTATCTATCTATCTATCTATCTATCTATCTATCTATCTATATTTAATTTTACAATCACGTATCCTGGTCTAAAAAACCTAAATAGTTTTTGTTTTCTTTTGCGTTTTATTTTATTTTGCATTCCGTAAAAAAACATATTTTCCAAAACAATTGTTTATTGTTCTATGTATCTGAATGAATTAACTCGAGCAGCATTTTGCTGAACCAGTGATCAGCCTGTCTGAAACTCAAAAGTTAGATTGTGTTTTGCTGCCCATGAAGATGTCATCTCTAAGCGCGCAATTGTTTAATTCCAATTGTAACTTTAAAAGTCATTTAGATATTTGGGAAGAACAAGCAATATTTTATAAAATATAGTTGATTGAGAGATGAACTGGAATTAGCCAGGCTGGAGCATGGGCGTAATTTTTTGGGGGGGGACAGGGGGGACATGTCCCCCTCCCCCACTTTTTCCAAAGACAAGTTTTTGCCCCTGCACTTTTTACCATCCAAAAGCAATATTACTTTATATTAAATTGACACTGGTTGAGCTCTAGGACCAAGTAGAAACGTTTGTGTTGAAGCCTGTTTCCCATTGGAACATACTGTAAAGATACCCCCCCCACACACACACACATTACGTCCATGGGCTGGAGCTGTGCAACTATCAGAAATGTTTTTTTTTTGTTTGTTTTGTTTTTTGCTTTTTGTATGGAAAGAGCCATTGTGAAAAGAGCACAAATTAAAAGGTAACCAATATTTAACACACTTGTCTTGCACTATTTGCCCGTCCCCATTCATAAAAACAAAAACTTTATTGTATTCATTGTTTTTATGTAGTACAAACACTGGATAATCTTTTTAACTTTTAAATACCCACAGCAGCAGAGTAACTACTGCATTGTATCATCTTTATTCTAAACCCTTGATGAGATAAACTTCAAAGGATCAGCAGCTGTAGTTTCAGCACTTTGCCCTTTTATCAACTGCAATTCTTGCTTTTTACACACTTGACATTGTCGTGCAAATTATGTCCAGACTGTCCTCACAGCTGCTGTGTTCACACCTCCTGAGCTGGGTCTAGTTGATGGACACCAGAGACCACAGTGCTAGTAAAAAAAGTACATGATGAAAACACTGTTGTTGTTTTCTCCTAAAAGCATCTCAAGAATTGAATGAATGAATGACTTTATTTATAGAGCACATTTCCTGTATGACAACAACTCAATGTGCTTAACAGTAAAAGAGACTAAATAAAACAAACACTTATAAAATATGTACACCCTTAAAAACGATCAGTGTTTACATATTAAAATATACACATGAAAGTAAAATCTACACATTCAAACATGCACGCACACATACACACACACACACACACACATTTGCACATACATACATCCATGCACAGCTATAAGACATAATTGTAAGAACTTAATTATGAATAAAACCATGTCTATGATATGAGGAAATAAAGTAGAAATGAAACAACCTAGCCATATGTTTGTTCAAATAGAAAGGTTTTCAAATTTCTCCTAAAAATATTTGTTGTAGCTGCTTCCCATTTCTCTAAAGGCAGAGTATTCCAGATCTTAGGTGCATAGACACTGAAGGCAGCCTCTCCTGACTTAGAATGTGTACGCGATATCACCAGATTGCCCTGATCTGCAGACCGGAGTGGTCTGACCGGCGTATAAGGTACTAGCATGTCTGTAATATATTGTGGTGCATGGCCATTGAGAGCTTTATATACAAGCAGTAGGATTTTAAAATCAATTCGTTTTTCAACTGGTAGCCAATGCAGAGATCTTAAAACAGGAGTAATGCGTTCAGAATTCTTTGTACCAGTCAGAACACGAGCAGCCGCATTCTGAATCAGTTGCAATCTGTAAATAGCGTACTGAGGAAGGGCAATTAAAAGACCATAACAATAATCTAGCCTGCTGGTTATGAATGCATGGATTAGCTTTTCAAGGTCAGTTCTTGAGACGAAATGTTTGATTTTAGAAATGTTACATAAATGAAATAATGCTATTTTAGTTGTATGATTAATGTGTTTTTTAAAATTCAGGTTACTGTCTAAAAATACACCCAAGTTTCGTGCTTCATTTTTACATTTAAGAGACAGAGAGGCGAGAAAGTCTACCACTGTCTGTCTCTGTGCGTTCGGACCAAATACCAGAATTTCTGTCTTGTCTTGATTTAACTGTAAGAAATTTTCGGACATCCAGGCATCCATATCCTTGATACATTGTATAAGAGAGTGAAGAGGAGCTGTATTACCAGAAGACAATGAAATATATAACTGCAGGTCATCTGCATCATTATGATAATTAATATTGTGCCTCTGAACAATGTGTACAAGAGGAAGCATGTACAGGTTGAATAATAGTGCACCAAGGATAGAACCTTGAGGAACACCACAAGTAACCACTAATTTTTTAGAGTTTAACCCCCCAACTGACATAAATGACTGCCTATCTCTAAGGTATGTTTGGAACCAACTAAGAACTGGACCGGAGAAACCAACCCAGTGTTCTAGCCACTCTAACAAAATGTCATGATCAACTGTATCAAATGCAGCACTAAGGTCCAGAAGGACAAGAACGGTGACTTTGCCAGAGTCTGTGCTTATGTGTAGGTCATTAACAACCTTAATGAGAGCTGTCTCTGTGCTGTGGTTACTGCCAAAACCAGACTGTTAAGTATCAAAGATGTTATTTTATATAAGGTAACGATTGATCTGAATAAAAACTGCTTTCTCCAGAAGTTTACTAAGAAACTGTAAGTTTGAGATCAAATTCCCAAACTTCTTTTGAAACAAATAGTATCTTTCGGTTTTGTGATAAGCTATTAAGCAAATTAAATATTTTTATGTGTGCAGTTTTACTCTTAAATGATAAATGCCCCCCACTTGTATAGCACCTCTCAAGAGTTAGGACTCCAAAGTGCTTTACACTACAGTGTATCATTCATCCATTCACACTAAGGACTCCAAAGTGCTTTACACTACAGTGTATCATTCATCCATTCACACACACATTCACACACTGATGGTGATGAACTACGATGTAGCCACAGCTGCCCTGGGGCGCACTGGCAGAGGCGAGGCTGCCGAGCACAGGCGCCACCGGTCCCTCCGTCCATCACCAGCAGGCAAGGTGGGTAAAGTGCCTTGCCCAAGGACACAATAGCAGATCGAACCTGCAACCTTTCGATTACTGAACAACCCGCTCAACCTGCTGAGCTACTGCTGCCCAATGCTCTTGCATTGTATAGTCATGCACGCTGTTTGTGTACCTGCCTGCAGACAAAAGCTTCCCTTTATTTGTTTGCACAAGAGCACTGAAGACGGTAATAGGATCCTTCTTGTGGGATGAACCTTTTTATTAACGGGACTTCAGCTGGAGAATGTAAAAATGGGAAGATCGTGACACACCTTCTAACATCAAACACAATAATGGAAGACCTAAATTTAACCTGCAGATGGCTTTTTGTTGGCCATGGCAGCGTGGGAATGGATGCTCACCTGGTTTAGTGGTCATCAGATGCAGTTTAAAAAACTGTTCCTGATTGCATTGAAGAGGCATTTTTTTATTGACGTTTATTTCTGAACCATATCTGATTTGTGAGAGGAGGGGGAAAGATGGCTGCTTAAGAAAACCACATTTTGTTTGTTTTCAGTGTTTAGGTGTTGAAGCGTTTTGTATGGAATGTTTCCATAAGTCAGGAATAAATAAACATCTCGTATATATTGGCAATTATTTTAAAATATGGTGATTTTCTGCAGCTTTCTTATGTTCTCAGTTTTACTGTAGAACAAAATCACTTCAATTTCTAAAGGAAACATTAATACAATGCACACACACACACACTTCATAGAGTTAGAGTGTCTCTTGTTATTTAACAACCATTCATCCAGAATAATTAGAAATGCCACTAATTAGCGGAGACCTTTATAAAAAAAACACACATTTCTTTTCAAGACCGGGTAGTTTTCATCATCCTAATTAATGGCCTATGATACATACTGATGTTTCGGGAACAAAGATCAGCAGACCAGCCTCAAGTTAGCCACAGGAAAACATGAAAAAGACCATCAATCAATAAGATCTTCTGAATCTTGTGACATGAGTAAAATCATTCACTGTTTCTCCAAATCAGTTTTATGTTCTAATTTTTGCAAAGAAATTTTAATACACAGATAACTTTTTTCTCATTTCTTATTAATTTAAAAGTTATTATTCTAGTAGTAAAAATGTCCATGAGAACGACTGCTTATTGATAGCAGGGGGTTGGATTTATGAGGGGAATTGTCAATTATTGATTAAGAAAATTGTGTCCAGTTTTGAGGGTTCATCAACTTCATCTCTAATTCTTATCTGTTTTTTATCAGAGTATCTTTAATTTTAGCTATAGAGGTGAAACTGGAAAAATTGGAATATGTTGCAAAAGTCCATTTATTTCAGTTATTCATCTTAGACTGAGAGACCATCTAAAGGCTCAAGAACTCTTTCCAGGTGTTTTGGCCTCAATAGCTGGTTAGAGTGTGACACTTTGAGCTTCGACTATCAAACCTTTTCCCAATATTCTAATTGTGTTAGCCTTTGAATGTGGGGTTTTCATAAGCTGTAAGTCATAATCATTACAATAATAACAAATAAAGGCTTTAAATATCTGGCTTTGCATGTAAAGAGTCTGTCTCATAGATTAGTTCCACCTTGTAAGTTGAATAACTGAAATAAATGAACTTTTGAACCATTTTCTAATTTTTCTAGACTTACCTGTAAGCAAATAAATAAATCTTAGCATTGTTGCCCTATGCAGCTTGTTGCTGGAGCATACAGATTTTTAAGGATCAGGCAGTGTTAATACTTCCTGATTACATTAAAAGGTCAAATTTTTATTACATTTGCAGAAGTTTCTTGTAGGAATAAATGCCTCGTGAGTCATACTCTGAGGAAAAAAAGCTCATGTGCTTGTTTGAGGATGGAAACTTCAGGTGAAAGGAGAAAGTAGCTTCAGACGACACACTGTGAAGTCTTATTTCCTGCTATTTGGACAACTCATTTCTGATTGGCTAACAGCAACGAGACTACCACTAATGTTTGCTCTGCAAAGTTGATGCTTTATCTCCACATTAACACAAGCCTGGAGGAATTCTACCATGTTGTGGAGTGCTAATGCTAACAGTTAGCTTCTACTAGCCGAGATGCTCTCTGCTGTTTCCTGGACAATAACACAACAACAGCCTTCCCGGTCGTGTGTCAAGATGGGTGAGTCCATGAATGTTAAGTGACAGTGTGATGTAGATCTGTCAGGGTTTTCTGAACTGAGCATTTTCTGGCCTATTTACTATCAGAAGCTAATGCAGGCGGCTATTTTCCCATTCAGCCTTCATGTTAAACTCAGAGTGACCAATCGTCTTCAAAAATAACGAGTTTAAAGGGTTTAAAGTTAAAGTCCCGTTAGTCATCATCACACACTGGTGAAGTTACATTTCTACATTTGACCCATTCTCGTGGGGAGTGGTGAGCTGCAGCAGTGGCTGCGCTCGGGAACGATTTGGTGGTTTAACCCCCCAATCCAACCCCTTAGAACTGAGTGTCAGGCAGGGAGGCACTGGGTCCCATTTTTAAAGTCTTTGGTATGACCCGATCGGGATCTCCCAGTCCCAGAGTGGACACTCATACCACGAGGCCACTGAGAAGATTTCTCAGTGAACCTGCTCTTTATCAAAGATAAAGCCAAAGATTTAGAACCAAACTTATAAAGTAAGTGTTACTTTTAAATGAGGATCTAAATAAGCTTCTTTTTTTTGTTTAATAATCTGCACCTCAATGTGCCCATCATCCATTTAATGTGTTAACAGGATAACAGGGCCTTCAGTTGAGTGACAGAAAATAGGATACACTTCTTGTTTTATTGTGTTTTTATGTGTAGCACAAGCTAAACTTTGATTCGTTTTCCTCAGCACTTGTTTTAGTGTTTCTTTGTACAAACTACCTAAGAAAGGGAGAGAGATTTTAATTGTATCTGTTATCTTCACATTGTTACTTGGTGATGGGAATAATGCCGTTTAAAATAACGACGTTACTAACGGCGTTCTTTTTTAGGTAACGGAATAATCTAAATACTTTTCCCATTGTTGCAACAACACCGTTACCGTTACTGGGACGGAAGGTTGTGCGTTACTATGTGCTTATCGAACGTTGAGCAACAGTGTGAGTCTTTCTGACCGCCACACATCAGCTGCAGCCAGGGAGAGAGAGGTGTCGGTAACGCACTTACAAACACCATGATGATTGGCCGGGTGGGCGGGGACCCTCGGCGTTCTCGCTGTCTCATCACAGCATGCTGTAGACACAACAGAGCAGTGATGGGAATAACACTGTTTAAAATAACCGCGTTAGTAAAAAAATGTTTTTTCCAGTAACGAGCAATATAATTAATTACCGTCTTCTTTCTTTTATCAAAACGTAATTTCTGTTACTGATCAGAAAATGCGTGCGTTAAGCTGCGCGGTGTGTTGAAGCTGTCATCAGCTGATCAGGAGCTAAAGAGGTAGATGTTTTCATCCAAGCGCATCTCGGCCCGTGAAGAACGAGGAAGACGTGATGATTAGTCCACGGCTGCAGGTGTGGATCTGCAGTCGTGCCCTTAGCGTGACAGCGGGACGTCCTGAAGGTCCGCTCACCTGTTCATTGCTCAGGCGTCACGATCTTCTACCTTCTTAGATCATCCAACTGTAACCTGTTTCTGATCATGTCTTTAGTCCCGCTTTAACACTGATGCATCAGTCTCAGACGTCATGGTGCTCAGGTGTTATTAGAACTACCTGTGTGTGTTCACTACCAGCTCTTCTGTGTTTGGGTCTGACCCAAGTTAGTAAATGTAAGTCCTCCATCAGATTTGTGCCTCTTCTAGTGTCATTTAAAGGATTTTATTTATTTATTTAACCATTACTATATTACCAGCAACAGAAATGCTACTAAAAACACACAATTATGTGAAGCTGGAAAAATTAAAATACTGTACAAATTTACATTTATTTCTTTAATTTAACCAGACTGAGAGACCGTTGAAAGGCTCGGGAACCTTTACAGGTGTTTATATTTGCAATTTTTAATTTTAGCTGATTGGGTTCTTGTTAAATATCACACATGACATTTTAATGTGTAGTATTACATTTTAGTGTAATGCTCCTGTTAGTAGTTCCTCCTGTTAAGTGCTTATTTATTAAAATTATTCAGGTTTATAAAAAGGCATTTGGACATACATTTTATTATGTTCCAGTCATTAGTCATTTTATATTTCACTATTGTAGTAATTTATGGTAAATTAAGTAAGTTTATTTAAGAGGGGAACCCATTTTTCTTGCATTCTTTAATCGAAAAAGTAACTAAGTAGTTATTTTTCTTGATAATTAGTTACTTTTATAATCTAGTAACTCTGTAAGCAACTGAGTTACTTTTTTGACAAAGTAATTAGTAACTATAACTAATTACTTTTTTACAGTAACTTTCCCAACACCCTGTGATAATAACAGGACAAAGTTCATTTGTAACATAAAACACGTTGACTTTAACTATTTTTAACTACAGTGCATTCTGTGAAGTCTAATAAATAAGGACCTAATTCCTACAAATAGTAAAAATCCAGTTAATTAAATCAAGATAGCTAAATGTCTTCACCGGTTTAACAAGATTATTAGCTTTTTATTTGCTTCTTTTATAGTTTACGGCCAGGAGGAAAAACAAATTAGTTGAACTGATTATAGGATTCTTACATGATGTTGTGAGCATCCACCAACAGGTTTTTAATTATGTTAAGGTAAGGAGGCTGTGATGGCTATGGCTCAACCTTTAGCTTATTCTTCTTGTGTATTCTGGAATGTGTTAAATACCATTGTTCTCCTTTCAGCTTCAGCTTTTTTTTAAGATAATATTTGTGTCCAGTATTTGCTGGTGTTTAATGAAATCTATTCGTTCTTCCACCAGTGAAATATTCAACTGGCTGCTACCCAAGCTCAAATCAATCCTCTGTTCCCCAGCTGCCTAACAGTTGGTGAGGTGTTGTTCTCATGAAATCCTGTAAGCTCATTTTCTCCCTGATAAAATACTGTTCTGTTGCCCATTTTATGGGATTTGATAAAAAAATACTCTTGGGTTATGTGGTGAACATGCATACAAGATTTATTTCCCCAAAATGAACTTCAGCTGCACAGCAGAGTGGTGCACTCCAGTTATTTATTTATTTTTGCATTCAATGTGTTTCCATGAATATTTTTGAGGGATCCATTTGTCAAAAATACCATTTCACAAAGTTTTCTTGTACTTTCAAACTTCATCCTGGTCCGCTTTTCTGTCTTTCGAAGGATTTTACAAAGAAAATGCGTTACAAATTGTTGCTTGACATCCTTTTCTGTTCCTAATCAGTTTTAATTTTTAAATCCATTTAAAAATATGATCACAGGTTTCCCAGTCCCCCACTCATCAAGCTAAAACAGCCAGTTATTGAGCGATTGAATATTTTTAATAAACGTATTTCAGGTTCACGTGGCACCTTAATCTCTTTATGTTATTTTTATTTCATTCATTATAGTTCTAAATATTACTATAAAATTGCTCACTGGAATGTACAATAGGGATTTTCTACTGTTCTTTGACTCATGCAGCAATAGATCTGATGTTAAAATTATTAATTTGCTTATCAAGCTTGATTATTATTGGGATTTGTTTTTGAAATCGAAAAATATCAGTTAATTTATTAAATGACTGTTCGCATTCATGTTTAATGTTTTTTTGTTGGGATGTAATCTACTAAATCAGCCATGAGGGGGTGCTAATACTCCATGGAAGCAGAGGCGCTCTTTGATTAACATGACCCCAGAAGCTTTTAGAAACCACACAAACCATTTGAAAAGTTTATTTCTACCATACACAAACTGTACAACACAGCGCATATCTGTTTATTATGAAATAGTAAAAGTAATAGGAAGTTTCAATTTAAAAACTACCCCAAATCAAAAAAGCATTACATTTTCGTGTAAAAAAAAAAGAAAGAAACAAAGAAAGAAAATACAGTACAATTTCATATCATACTAATATCGTTCCACAAACAAAAAAATATCACTTTACAAAACATCAAATACTAACGGGGGAAATAAATAAATGTTATTCACAAAACTTCCTGAGCAAACAATGTGTGGTAATTAAATATTAGAAATTATAAATAAATTATTGTTAGATTTAAAGTGTTTCTTTTTTAGTTTAAGATTAAAATAATTTAAAAGAGTGAGTATTCTGGATAAGATCTGTCCGAAATTTGGCATTTTTTGCTGTTTTCTTTACAATCCCAGGCTCTTTGACATTTGCTTTTGCAGAACTGACAAACATATTGCTTAGATGATGTGCAGATTTCTGACCTCAGTTTAATTTAGACTAAAACTGGGAGGTTCAAATCAATCTTAGCATAAAAAAATTCTTTACAAAAACAAATTTAAAAGAAGAAAATCCAATATATATTTTCACAAAAGTGTCATTGATTAAAACAAATAAGATTTATCATTTCTGTTTAAGAAGAACTGAAATGCTGGTCATTTTGAATATTTGTCCCAAGGAAATTGTTGAAATGCTAAGGCCTGTTAGTCTTAAATGAAACTGGAGTCATTTGTTTTGTCCCTTCTTTTTTCTTGCTTGTAAAAATTAATAATAAGAATAAAACGAAACACCAGATTTTAATCTCAGTCATGTTTTCCAACCCGATCAGGGATTACAGCTACTGAAACAACGGTATTCAAACAGTCATCAGGAACGAGTCCTCCTATGAAAATAATTGTACTGTATAATAAATCAGACACCATCCACATAATACTGTCCTACCACAAAACATAGTACTTGTATATTTTTATGGATTCATATACATTTAGGCACATACTATATGCACACTTCAATGTGTGTGCACAGAAGGCAGTTTAATAACTATCTGTTTGTTTGTTTTTTAAAAAGAAAGACATCTTGACAAAGTGAAGTTTTGATTTTCTTTCCACTCTTCTTGCAGAATCTGACGTTCAGGTCCTCAAATGATGTTTTGTTTTTGCTCCATTCTTATTGGCGTGAAAACGGTACAGTACTGTTGCATTGCTTTATTATTGTTATTTACTTTTAAATCTCACTTTGCCAAGCAGTACATTCAGTTTCCAATAAAGAAAGCAAACAGCAATGCTTTAAACGGTCGCAGTTTTGGTCTATTCTCCCTCTTTAACGGGCGATCCAACTCATGATTTAACCATATAATAGTTTTTTTAACACTAGATGGCGAAAGCGCGCCATAAAACTGGAATGTGCTTCTGTGTCATTTACAATGTGCAGAAAGTCCCAACAGATTTGTGGAATTTTAAGCATTTACAATTTGAAATAACTAAAAATTTAAGGAAATAAATACACTGATGAACAAATATAATCATAAATAGCCATAATTTAAGAATGACGCAAACACATACAGATTAAAATCAAGCAAACCATACAAAATAATTAAGTGCAAGAGGGGGGTAAAAAATCTCACCAGGATAAACATATCGAGAAACAGTAAAAGCATTACGGATCTGGCTGGTAATTTTCTCAGTGCATTGTGTGTTGAGCGTGTGTGTGGGTGTGTGTGTATGCATGTGTGTGTTTACCGGGAAATGCCAAGCACATTTCCAAAAGCCTCGTCTTATACACGCTGCCGAGCCGGCGCTCTTCAGTGAAATAGAGCTATCTAGTACCATTATCCCAAGTCAAAGAAACCTCTTGGTAGCTCTACAGCTTAAACATGGATGCCCTTAATAGCCTGTTTGATATTATCCAAGAGGGCCTTGCACTCTGGGGAGTATTCATGCTCTGAGTTGTTGTACATATCAGTTAATGTGTTCACATAGGCTTCAAAATTATGCTCACTGATGGGTCCCTGCAACAGCAACAAAAACAACAACATGTTAGTGAACAGGACGGCTTTGGCGCGTGTTTAGTGTGTGGTCGAGGTTTACTGTACCATTTGAGGCAGCTGGATATCTGTTAGACTGTTAATGAGGGCCTGGCTAAGGCGAGCAAGCTCCTTCAGGAGGCTGTCATTGTGCTGTTCGATCATCTTGTTCTCCTCCTCAATTGTCTTCAGGTTACATTCCATCGACGAGATCTGCTTTCGGGTACAAAACGACATCGACTTGAGCGAGCACTGCTCCCGGAAGTTTTACAAGCCGAACTTCTTGGAGTAAATCCTTACCTGGGTTTGGAGTTGCATCATATCTTCTTCTATTTTCATGTTGGAGTCGTTCAGTTCCATGATTTCATGATCCAGATGTTGAATATCGTCTTTGTTTTCAACACCTTTTTATACAAGAGAAGGCATTATTTGTCACGTTTAGCCTGGCAATTGTTATTTTTATTAGGGATGTCCGATATTATTGGTCGATATCAGCATTACAATGTAATATCGGAAATTATCGGTGTCAATGTTTACTTTTTGAATGGCACAACGTTTACATGTCATACATCAAACTCATCAGCTTCTTCCCCTCTCATTCAATTATAAAAATATGACAAATCTGAGGTAGAGTTTTTGAGATTTTTTGTTTTTTTGGCACAACTGGCCTAATTTAAATTGAAGTAGTTGTTATAATTAACACAGATAATGTTTTAAATTTAAGTATGAATGATAGGAGATACGTGATTTTAGTTAGTTGAAGCCATTTGTTTGTTTGTTTCTTTTTTGGGGGGGTGCATATATTGGTATCTGAAATTTGGAGTTTTACTATATCAGTGTAGTGATGCACCAATATGAAATTTTTGGGCAGATATGATACCCGATATTAATATCACTGTTATGCCCGATAACCGATATTTGCCCCATACGGATATACTGACATTGATGCTTGTAAAATCAGCAGATTTTGTGTAGAATGATCATTTTTAAAGCTGGATTTGCGTTATTATGTACACACATTACACATTTACGCCTCTGAGATGATTACAATAACTGTCACATGACTAAACAAATACACATCACCACCCTCATCCTCTAAAACAGATAAACAAATGGAAACAAAATGGAAAAAATATCGGTTGTTAATATTGGCCCGGTTTTATTTGTAGAACCGATAACGATGTGTTAAAAATTCATCAGCCGACACTGATGACGATATATTGTGCATCCCTATATCAGTGTATTGGTTTAAAAGCTGAAGTCAAACATCCATAACAGTTATGAAGAGTACAGCATTTGCATGAAATGTGATTTTTATGTGTTTCATCATGCCAGCGTTGTGCCAGGATTAACAGATTTATTTCCAAAGAAAGATATCAGTATAACAAGAGCAAGACCTCAAAGCTCTCACAAGGAACTTAAGAACGCTCGCAGATGTTTCGAGACTATTTGGAAAGTCTTCTTTGATGCAGTTACAGTCACAGATGATGTCACAGATGAATAAAGTTTGCATGATAGGAGATATGTAATGTTAGTTAAAGTAATTTGGTTTTTCTTTTGTTGTGCAAGGGGGAACACATAAAAGGGCATCAGTTTATATCGGTATTGGAAATTAAGAGTTAGACCAAATCATAAATCAGATATTGGTTAAAAAGCCGACATCAAACATCCCTACTTCTTATGCTTAAATAAGACCTTTCAGTGCTTTGATACCAGATGTACCATACTAGGATCTTACCACTGCTGGCTTTCAGTTTGATAGTCATCATCTCCTCCTCGGAGTGCTTTTTCTTGATGCTCTGTGCATTCAGCGGACAACCTGACAAGCTGATTGAGCGATGCACAACAAGATTTAGTGAAATTATTCAAATATAAAGTGAGAGACAGAGTGTCATCAGGAGTGGATAGTGAGATTACTGACCAGCAGAGAAATGGCGAACTTACCTTCTATGAGTGGCGAATACATTATTGGCATGTCCAAGGCCGTTGCAGCCAGGCAGCGGACAATGGGGCAGCTCCTGTTTACTGGCCTTCCAGGCAAAGGGCAGCCCATTGATAGACGACTCCTTCTGTCTTTTGGCAGCAAGCGGACAACTGCCCGCACTGCGGTGGGATGTGTATTTTCCCGATATATGGCCCTGTCCGTCACATCCGATTACTGGACACCTACCAACGAGACAGACACTGAAAAAGCTGCACGCACCGCTTAATAAAAGTATCAAACTTGGCAACAATTTTTGTGCTGTGGCAGAAAAAAAAATCAGGCAACTGCAAGAAAAATAAAATAAAATAAAACATCAACAACTTTTTAAGCCGCAAATAAATAAATAAATAAATGTAAGCAACATTTAAAAAATCACTTTCCATAACTAGACCGGAAGATTTTTTAACCATTAACTTGATTAATCCATCCAAATGCTGATTAAAAATAAGGCCACAAAACTAGAGATGGACTCAAATAATCACATTAACTACTAAGTTACTAATCCGGTGAAACTTGAGTTGGAGTGAGCGCTCCGCTCTGCTGAGTGCAGACTTTTTATTTTTTTGTGGGATATTTGTGCCTGAAAACACGAGCACATCTCACGCAGAGCATCATTAAGAGTTTGTCAGTTGCATTTCCAGGCCTGCTTTTCTGCAGGTCAGTAATGGAGTGACATGAATTACAGATAATTGTCATGTTTCCCCCTCCTCCTCTCATGCGAAAGAATGTAATTTGGAGGTGGCTAACCCGTTCCCTTATTGATAAAGGTGAAAGGTCACCTGAGATGATACAAATGGCACCCGTGATGTAGAGTGCCGCTGCAAAAAGCCTGTTTCAGCATTTTGTTACTCGACGGCACTTACAGGACAAAACAACACGGGTCCCATTACTTACATCTAGCACAGGTAGGTTTGATGCAAGGCACCCAGACAATGGAGGCATGCCATGTGGCCTACTATTTACAATAATCTAGGGACATTTGTTACCCTCCCCCTTTCTCACCCCTTTTCTCTCTTAATGTGTATGAAATCTACTCCAGCCTAATTCCTAATCTCATGGCTCTTGCATTAGTAATTAAAAAGAATAAAAATAATAAATCAGCGCCCAGATGTATAAGTAAACAAGGGCTCAAATATCTGACTTTGGATTTAAACTACAAATCAATTACATTATTCTCCCTTTTCCCCCCCCCAATAACACTTTCCCCAGACAAGAATGATTAATGCAAATGAGAGCAGCGCCATCAGCAGTTTAACATTTTCTTAATATAATTACAAAGAAAGCACTCAGAGACGGGTGATAAGCCAGATATTCCATTCAGAAAATAGGAGCAAAATAAATAAAAAAAATACTGCAAAAACATGCTGCTAATCCTTCGGAAAATAATTTACTAATGTAAGAGACGGGAGAAGTATTATTTACTTTGTTTAACTTAATGGCCTCCAGGTAGAAAGCAGAAAAAATTAGATCAGAATAAAAAAAAATATCTGTTTGGCTTTGTTGTCTTGTTTTATTTCTAAACTGAAAACATGTCAGCAGGACGAAGACAGAAAAGAAAGAAGAATCTCTTACTTAAGCTCCTGCTCATCTTTGTCATCCTTGTTTGGTGTGAGCTTCAAACCTCCTTTTCTGGCACGGGGACATCCTGACAAGCTGCAAAACGTTTGGAGACGGGGAGATACAACATCAAAGAACGAGACGAGAGAAATCGATCGATAGATAGATAGATAGATAGATAGATAGATAGATAGATAGATAGATAGATAGATAGATAGATAGATAGATAGATAGATAGATAGATAGATAGATAGATAGATAGATAGATGATAGATAGATAGATAGATAGATAGATAGATAGATAGATAGATAGATAGATAGATAGATGATAGATAGATAGATAGATAGATAGATAGATAGATAGATAGATAGATAGATAGATAGATAGATAGATAGATAGATAGATAGATGATAGATAGATAGATAGATAGATAGATAGATAGATAGATAGATAGATAGATAGATAGATAGATAGATAGATAGATAGATAGATAGATAGATAGATAGATGATAGATAGATAGATATAGATAGATACACAGTATAGGTAATTATGTGTTGGCAGTACTAATACTTATGATGTAATATACACTTAAATGCAGGTTACTATAACTAAGGCAAACCAGTACATATGTAGTATTTGAAAAATGTGTTTATTGTTTACTGCTTTTATGTATCAGAAATAAAAGCTCAGTCAGCTAATTTCCAAGTATTATTTGTCTTAGTTGTAGTTACTTGTAAATGTTTTACTTTGTAGGTATTAGTAGCTCCGGCAAGTAATTACCTGTTCCTGTGTACTTATTAGTTTAAGAGCAATTGGTTTGCTTGCTTTTTTCAAGTAAGGTGAACTAATCATATTTTACAGGATAGATAGATGATTGATAGATAGATAGATAGATAGATAGATAGATAGATAGATGATAGATAGATAGATAGATAGATAGATAGATAGATAGATAGATAGATAGATAGATAGATAGATAGATAGATAGATAGATAGATAGATAGATAGATGATAGATAGATAGATAGATAGATAGATAGATAGATAGATAGATAGATAGATGATAGATAGATAGATGATAGATAGATAGATAGATAGATAGATAGATAGATAGATAGATAGATAGATAGATAGATAGATAGATAGATAGATAGATAGATAGATAGATAGATGATAGATAGATAGATAGATAGATATAGATAGATACACAGTAACAGGTAATTATGTGTTGGCAGTACTAATACTTGTGATGTAATATACACTTAAATGCAGGTTACTATAACTAAGGCAAACCAGTACATATGTAGTATTTGAAAAATGTGTTTATTGTTTACTGCTTTTATGTATCAGAAATAAAAGCTCAGTCAGCTAATTTCCAAGTATTATTTGTCTTAGTTGTAGTTACTTGTAAATGTTTTACTTTGTAGGTATTAGTAGCTCCGGCAAGTAATTACCTGTTCCTGTGTACTTATTAGTTTAAGAGCAATTGGTTTGCTTGCTTTTTTCAAGTAAGGTGAACTAATCATATTTTACAGGATAGATAGATAGATAGATAGATAGATAGATAGATAGATAGATAGATAGATAGATAGATAGATAGATAGATAGATAGATAGATAGATAGATAGATAGATAGATAGATAGATAGATAGATAGATAGATAGATAGATGAATGAATGATAGATAGATAGATAGATAGATAGATAGATAGATAGATAGATAGATAGATAGATAGATAGATAGATAGATAGATAGATAGATAGATAGATAGATAGATGATAGATAGATAGATAGATGATAGATAGATAGATAGATAGATGATAGATAGATGAATGATAGATGAATGATAGATGAATGATAGATGAATGATAGATGAATGATAGATAGATAGATAGATAGATAGATAGATAGATAGATAGATAGATAGATAGATGAATGATAGATAGATAGATAGATAGATAGATAGATAGATAGATAGATAGATAGATAGATAGATAGATAGATAGATAGATAGATAGATAGATAGATAGATAGATAGATGAATGAATGAATGATAGATAGATAGATAGATAGATAGATAGATAGATAGATAGATAGATAGATGATAGATAGATAGATAGATAGATAGATAGATAGATAGATAGATAGATAGATAGATAGATAGATAGATAGATAGATAGATAGATAGATAGATAGATAGATAGATAGATAGATGAATGAATGAATGATAGATAGATAGATAGATAGATAGATAGATAGATAGATAGATAGATAGATAGATAGATAGATAGATAGATAGATAGATAGATAGATAGAGATAGATAGATAGATAGATAGATAGATAGATAGATAGATAGATAGATAGATAGATAGATAGATAGATAGATAGATAGATAGATAGATAGATAGATAGATAGATAGATAGATAGATAGATAGATGAATGAATGATAGATAGATAGATAGATAGATAGATAGATAGATAGATAGATAGATAGATAGATAGATAGATAGATAGATAGATAGATGATAGATAGATAGATAGATAGATAGATAGATAGATGATAGATAGATAGATAGATAGATAGATAGATAGATAGATAGATAGATAGATAGATAGATAGATAGATAGATGAATGAATGAATGAATGATAGATAGATAGATAGATAGATAGATAGATAGATAGATAGATAGATAGATAGATAGATAGATAGATAGATAGATAGATAGATATAGATAGATAGATAGATAGATAGATAGATAGATAGATAGATAGATAGATATAGATAGATAGATAGATAGATAGATAGATAGATAGATAGATAGATAGATAGATGATAGATAGATAGATAGATAGATAGATAGATAGATAGATAGATAGATAGATAGATAGATAGATAGATAGATAGATAGATAGATAGATAGATAGATAGATAGATAGATAGATGATAGATAGATGAATGATAGATGAATGATAGATAGATAGATAGATAGATAGATAGATAGATAGATAGATAGATAGATAGATAGATAGATAGATAGATAGATAGATAGATAGATAGATAGATAGATAGATAGATGATAGATAGATAGATATAGATAGATACACAGTAACAGGTAATTATGTGTTGGCAGTACTAATACTTGTGATGTAATATACACTTAAATGCAGGTTACTATAACTAAGGCAAACCAGTACATATGTAGTATTTGAAAAATGTGTTTATTGTTTACTGCTTTTATGTATCAGAAATAAAAGCTCAGTCAGCTAATTTCCAAGTATTATTTGTCTTAGTTGTAGTTACTTGTAAATGTTTTACTTTGTAGGTATTAGTAGCTCCGGCAAGTAATTACCTGTTCCTGTGTACTTATTAGTTTAAGTGCAATTGGTTTGCTTGCTTTTTTCAAGTAAGGTGAACTAATCATATTTTACAGGATAGATAGATAGATAGATAGATAGATAGATAGATAGATAGATAGATAGATAGATAGATAGATAGATAGATAGATAGATAGATAGATAGATAGATAGATAGATAGATAGATATAGATATAGATAGATAGATAGATGAATGATAGATAGATAGATAGATAGATAGATAGATAGATAGATAGATAGATAGATAGATAGATAGATAGATAGATGATAGATAGATGATAGATAGATAGATAGATAGATAGATAGATAGATAGATAGATAGATAGATAGATAGATAGATAGATAGATAGATGAATGATAGATAGATAGATAGATAGATAGATAGATAGATAGATAGATAGATAGATAGATAGATAGATAGATAGATGAATGATAAATGAATGATAGATAGATAGATAGATAGATAGATAGATAGATAGATGGATAGATAGATGAATGATAGATAGATAGATAGATAGATAGATAGATAGATAGATAGATAGATAGATAGATAGATAGATAGATAGATAGATAGATAGATAGATAGATAGATAGATAGATAGATAGATGTGAAGCCAAATTATGCATAAAAACACAAAATCAAAAAGTGCAGCATGTTTGCCACGTAAAGTGAGACTTTCACCATCTGTTTGAATGCCATGCATCTGACAAATACATTTCATCCTCAGCGGTGGTGATTTTTCTCCTCTACCTTCTGTGCGAAGCATAGTTCCCAGTCACATGTCCAGACCCATCACAACCAGGTGTTGGGCACCTGCAGGTTGAGAGACACAGACACCAGGTGCTTTTTACAGCAAAAAATGTAAAAAAAGAAATAAATAAACCAGCGAGCAGAGCAGTGGATTCATGCTAATATGCAGGAAAGTAGCACAAATAGCAAAACAAGTTCATGTCGAGCACATGGAAATCTTGCATAATGTGTGATGGGGGAAGAAAAGGGAGGAATAGAGAGAAGCAAAGCCAAAACAAGAACAAGCTGTTTGGGTTTAACATGGAAAATGGAACCGTTTTCATACTTTAGTTCCTGAGAGTTGGCTGCCATCAGTGATTTGAGCGTTTTGTCAGCCAGTGGACATCCAGACACACTAGAAAGGATAAAGAGCTAAGAGTCATTTTACTTCTCTCTTTGATCACATTTAAATAATCTCTTTACACAAACAACTTTAAAAAAAACACGAATCATCCTCTTCACAATGCAGGTTTCCAAAGAAAGCGATTTAAAGAGTTTGTGGCAAGTTTTCAGCAGGAACAATAAGGATGATTGAACAACGAGCCCTGCTTGAGTTGTCTGTGTTTTGTCTTGCTGGTGCTAATGAGAGTGTAATTAATTGCCGTACCTCCGATGTGAAGCATAATTCCCCGTCACGTGGCCGCTGCCGTCACAGCCTGGGGTCGGACAGCTGCATGGGAACATAAAGCATTTAATACGCAGATTATTCTACTTCACACAGACTTTGCCAAGCTTGAACTGAATCTTTAGTTTGCACTGAGGGACCTTTTCATGGACATTAAAGGGAAACAAGAGTTAGTACAGCGAGAAGTTTAGTAGAAATCCATGATTTTATTGCCTAACGTTCAGTTTCTCTGAGCATCATTCATGAGATCTCAGTAGGGTGTGTGTGTGTGTGTGTGTTGTGAAAATAAGAAGATCCTACTTTTCTTTTATATTTATTTATTTATTTATTTATTTATTTATTTATTTGGTGAGCAGATCCAGTGGAACATGCACTCTAACTACAAGAGTCATGAGTTGTGAGAAGCAGGATGTACAGCGAGAAAAACTCACTTTCAAACAGAAACAAATCTTCTCCACATGAACCTGCGGACAGTTAGTCATACGTAACACAGTGAGTTTCATTTGACCCACTTAAATCAATCTGCTCTAAAATGGTCCTGAGTTTTATTATTAATACTGACCATCTGCCAGCTAAAAGGGACGATCAGATTACACGTGTCCGACTGAATAAAGATGCTACAAGATGTTTCCGTGTTTCACGGCCCCTACCTCAGGAGCTCTTTCTTTGAATCTCGTAACAACAGCTTGGCTTTGGGGCTTAACATGCTGCCGTCTCCTTGATAGTGTTGGTCCTCCAAGGACACCTGATCGTAATCGTCCTGCGTGGAAAGACAAAATAACAGCATGGCTTTTACTGTCCTAAATGTCAAAACTCACTTCTCAGTGACCTGGAAGTGAGTAATTAATGAAATCCCTGTGTAATACTCTTAAAACATTTGTTAAGGTCAAAGTCCAAGTCGAGGAGATTAGACGTAAGGATTCTCATACATCCATTTAAAGTCTTAATCCACAAAGAGTTCAGGATGTGCCGCTGCAACGTATGGACCGTCCAGTCACCAGATGTAAGGCTGATTTCAAATCAGGACAAGTTACAATCTTAAAAACAAAAGAAACGCTTAGAGTCCAGATTATGTTTTTGTTGTTATTATTTTCGCCCCCCTGGGCAACAGTGTGAAGCGCAGATTAACACTCGGCCTCAGTGGGAGGATGTTTAATGTATTTTATTGATTAGCAGATCTGACTTGAGCTGTTCGGTCTTTGAAAATGTCACCGTGACTGTTCTTACCAGCAGTCAGAGGGGAGCTTACAACAGGTCTACTGCTTTTTTACTAGCACCTCCATAACTAAGACTAAACTCAGTCGTTATTTTAGCAACATGGTGGATATTTAGAACAGTGCAGAGCTCGATTTAGGAAATGAGATAACTTTGACTATTTTAAAACTGAATCTTTACCTGTGGGTAAATATGTCATTTTAGATAAATAAAATTATTTATTTCTCGTCATACACAACTTTGCTTTTAGCACCCCCTAGTGTCCGTTATTAATTATCTATGGTTAAACCAAAAATGAAACTTATCTCCTCGTTGTGCTTTCGTCGTTTTAACACCTTAAGCTAACAGCTGAAATGTCTCCTCAGCCTTCATTAGTTTATACAGGAGTGGCTCATCACTAAATCAAACAATCAGCTGTGTTCACGATCTAAATCATGCAGGAAACGTGTTGGAAGGGCCAGGTATGTCTGCAAAATTTTTTCTAAGTCCATCAAGTGGTGGGTTGCCACACCGAAGTTGCAAGTGCAAGACTCTGACCACAGAGGGCGGTAGGAGTCTCAGTGATGTTTCATTAACCCTGTAAAAGGTCATTTTAGCACATACTAGCTCAAGAAAAAGATAAAAAATATGAAAAAGTTGCATAGTATGCCTTTAAACATGTAGGGATTAGGGCTGGGCGATATGACCTAAAATTAATATCATAATATACAGTATTGAGGATTTCACCTCGGTAGCGATAAATGGACGATAACTACAGGTATGTGCTGAAACAAAAGTTGTCCACTAGATGGGGCTGTCGCGTGTATTACGCTGAGTCACATTTTTATGTGACTGAAGGTTGTACAACTTCTTAAAGGGGCATGAGCGCTGCCAATCTACACACACCTTTTCATGTTTTTATTATCAAATTTATTGAAATGGGAAAAATGATCATGACAAGAGTCAGAAATTTTGACAACGATAAATTTTCGACTTGTTGCCCAGCCCTAGTAGGGATGTTCAATATCAGATTTTTACCGTTATACGATATACCGATATTGTCTAACTCTTAATTTCCATTATCAGTATCGACCAGTACTAATATATGCAGGTTCCCCCACATAAAGAATGACAAAACTAAATAATTTAAGGTAACTAACATCACATATCTCCAATCATGCGTACTTAAACTTTAAAAATTATTGGTGCGAATTATGACAAATACTTTAAGCTAGGCCAGCTGTGCCAAACAAACAAAAATATGTCAGAAACTCATCCGATATGTCATATTTTGACATTCTGAATGAGAGAAGAAGATGAAGAGTTTGACGTGTTATATATGCATGGTATCTAAAAGTTGTGTTGGTAAAAGAGTAAATACCAGTACTTGTTATTTACATTTTAATGATAATCAGCCAATAGTGGTAGGCCAATTATATCGGACATCCCTAATGAATTTATGAATGAGTCCGACTAACAGGTTTATGTTTAGTTGGAGAACTTAAGGGAAAAAAGTTAGAATTTCTCAGCTTCCTTCAAAATTATGTTGCTTAATAAACAACGTTTATTGTTATTTTAAATGGAAAGTTATAGAAAATGAATCAGGATGAACAGATATTCAGCATTTTCGATAGTCCGCACAGTTAAATTATGATCAGACTTATATTATTGGCTGATATCGGCATTAACATGTAACATTGGAAATCATTGGTGTCGGTTTTTACTCTATAATGATAGATTTTTGGTACCATACAAATATTATAAATCCAACTCTTCCACTACCTCTCCTCTCACTCAAAATGCCAAATGATCCGAGGTTTAGTTTCTGACAAATTCAACTTAAATTGAAGTATTTTACACATTTTTAAAGCTTAGCATGATAGGAGATATGAGATGTGAGTTACCTAAAATCATTTAATTTTTTCAGGAGGGGGAACTCCTCATCAGAGAATCAGAGAGAATTTTATTGCCAGTGCTCCAGCAAACCAGAGCATAGGAACTTGACTCCACAGAACAGCCTGACCAAGATTACACACACACATATAGACAGAACAGATACAGGCAGACCACGAGAGCAGCCATAACGGCGCAGTTTGTATCACTAATAAAGAGTTAGACTAAATCAGATTTCTGTAAAGAAGCCAACATCAAACATCCCCAGTTTTAACATTTTCATCTAAATCTTGTGTTTCAGATATTCTATCAATATCTTTTTAAAACATTTTTTACCTCTTTGCCCTGTAAAATGTGGGCTTTACTGAAGTTGACAGGGATGGCGTTTTCCCAGCTGTCTCTGTCACACAGCGGCTGGTAGAAGGTGGGGCTGATGAGCACACTCCCGCTTTTCACCATGGCGGACTCAGGAGGGGACACGGGGTCGTCTGGAGGTGTTTTATTCGGGGCTTTGCCGTTCTCCTTACACTTCTTCATGCTCAAGTCCAAAGTGCCATTTTCATCCACTTCAATGAGCATATCCTGGACAAAAACACCCTAAAACTTTAATAACATCCCACTTTCAACATGCAACGACTAAATCAACATCACAGTCAAAATAGATTTAACTCCAATAGTTCATTTATTCATGAAAAGTGACTTAAAGTGTATTTGAATAACACACGTAGTGGTTATCTCACACCAGACAAATACAGAACGCATTAATTGTGCTGAACACAAAAAAATAATCACTGGTGTGTATTTTTTTTTCCAGTGACAGCTGTGTCATCTGTTTTCTAGGACACACAACCAAGATGGCAGCTGGGAGTTGTCGGGGAGTGTGTGTGTGTGTGTGTGTGTGTGTGTGTGTGTGTGTGTGTGTGTGTGTGTGTGTGTGTGTGTGTGTGTGTGTGTGTGTGTGTGTGTGTGTGTGTGTGTGTGGAGGGGGGGTGGTTGGTTTTAGGTCATGATTATTATTATTATAGCAAAAATTAAAAAGCCTAATGTGGCATAAGATTCCCCGCTGACAGATGTGTTTGTGGTTTTTTGTGCTGAAACGCACCGGCGTGATGACTTATGGCTGTTTTAAGGAATTAAAAGTTGTACCTCATTAAATGCTGAAATCCTTTCCTAATAAATCAAACCAATTACTCAATCCATATGTTTCATTAACCCCTATCCATCTTCGTAAGGTTAAATGTAATTATTATTATTCTGTAACAAAGATGTGGTTTTCGGTTAATTAAAGGGGTAATTTTTTAAACACTGGATGCGACTGTCCAGTTTAATTATCCAGTGATTTGAAGATCTATTATTTTATTTACTGTAATTGAATATCTGCACAAACCTTTTGGTGCTTCTAATTAAAATGCAGCTTTTAAATTTGAACTTTTCTCTCATGAGCTGTGACAAAGTGTAATATACTTAAATATGCATGTAAGGTAAAGCATCCAAGGAAACATAACACTCTAAATATGGGCCCTCTTTTTCAGACACCAAAGCTGTTCTTGGTTTTGAGCGTCTATCCAAGACAACTAAGCTGTCAACGAGAACAGATGATTAACTTGCTAACACTGTTTTATTCATTCAGTGGGCTGGTACCTGGGACAGGGCCACATTCTCAGCTCAACAAGCTGGGAGACAAGGATCTGTGCTGTGTAGGTGTGGAAACCTTGAATCATCTACAGTACAGCGCGCGCGTACGTATGTAACCCACAGAATGTGATCAATATTAATCATGAAAAAAAGTTGAACACAATGCGACGAACTACAGCAGAAGATGTTCCGGATATGCACACATTTCCATAAAGAGTTCGGATTTTGCCTGAATTAAACTTCTGATATGTTGACTCCTTTTGCTAATTGGCCTAATCCATTCGAATGCTTTTTAAAGACGAGCTGGTGTAGACACACAGCCTATGCTGGATCATACAGCTAAGCAAAATATCCTCTGCCATCTGCAGCGGGCAAGAAGCGCTTTCAGACAACAGTTCAAGGTTTTTACATGCCAGCTGATGTCAAAACAAATTACAGTGCCACATGTTTTACCACAAAAAAAAGGGAAGGAAGAAAAGACTGGTAGTTTTAATTTTGAAGTCATCACACACATTTCCATTTATGTTCATTAAAGCTACGGGGTGGAGATGCCACCAAAGTGCAAAAGCTCAAGTTTTTTTTTCCTTGTCTCTTGTTATCTTCTAAACCAGAGTTCCTTTAAAATGACCAAGTGGTCTAAATTAATTACCTTTGTGGAGGACGCCAGGGCCTGGCCGCTGATGGTCTCTATGTTCTTCCGGTAGCGGGTGGAAAGGTTAAGGATGGCGGCTGTTGCTGCTGCAGCCTGGAGACCGTCTTCCCTTCTGAATTGACTTAGTAGGCTGTGTTGACCGGAGACGGGCAGACGGCCACCTGGAGCTCCAAGAACGCCAGGATACTGCTGAGGTGCTAAAAGACAAACAATTAGCAGAGCTTTTAGCTACTCGGACACCAGGTGTTAAACCCAAACAGCAGAGTGGCGAGAAAACAAGTTAGGTCTTAGTATGGTTGGGAATCAAACACTGACTTTTAAAAAATTCTTAAAAGACACGTATATAGTATAACAATTTGTGAATTGTTATTAGCTTACAGTCAGGGAACTGGGACACGTCATGGTCCTGGTTGGTCCCCAGTAGTGGCTGTTTGCCAAAGACCTGTGCATCAAAGCTGGCGTAATCAAAACGGATTCTGCTGTAGTTGACCACATCTTTCGCCAGGCTGTTTTGCAAGGCTGCAACCGGATGAGCGAGCCGGTAGTTCAACTGGTCCATTTCGAATTTCTTTATCAAACTGAGGGTCCTATAATGAAGCAGAAAGAGTTATTGTAGAAAAGAATTTCTTTGGAAAGTAAACGTAAAAATGTCGACGCTGCATTTGACCATCGATGGATGCCAGTGCTTTTGTACACATGCAGTCTGGAATCTGATGTGTGTTGTGGATCCACAGTCAGGTTGCCAGACTAATTAATATAGAAGGAATGGGCATGCTGCCCATGATATATCCACAGGGAACAAAGAGTTCTGCTCTTTCATCATCTCTAATAGAGAAGAACTCACAGGACCAGCAACCACCGCTTATGTCTGCTTGGAAAGCTCCAGTTAGGCCCAGCTGGGATCATTGAGAAAAAATATTCCACTCGCTCCTCAATAATAACAGCCTTAACTGAACCTTTTATTTATCACAAGCCCAGCTGTAAGTGCAGAATTTTTTCAAGAGAAAATCTTGAGCTTGACCTGGCATCGCACTTTGGTGAGCGGTCGGGGGTTTGTCTGCATTTCAGGCTCTCGTCCTGAGGTTTGGACACCTTCACTGCAGCAGCGATGGGGCAGCCAGAGAGACTGGGTTAGGAAGGAAAATAAACACATAAGTCATCTGCAAACAGGCTACAGGTGCGTCTAATGGCTTATTCCTGCAGATGTACCTCCGGTGGGTGCTGCGGTTGCTGTTGACATGGCCCCGTCCGGTGCACCCAGGTGTGGGACACTTGAGGACGTTTTCATGCATGGCCAGAACTGAAGGAACAGACAAAAACACCAGCTTAAACTGTTAATAAATAAATATTTACAACAAAGCAGCATGCAAGACACCGTGAATCTGCAAATGTGTAAGAATTTACAAAGAAAAAGCATCAATTTTCATGCATTAAATGATGATTTTACATAAGATCCTACAGAGACACAGAGAGAAGGAGAAGAAAGCAGCCTGCTCATTGTGCAGGACGTCGTAATGTAAATAGCTTAGTGCAAAAAAGAGACAGCTGATTATATTCTTCAAACCAAATGCGTTGTTAAAGGTCTGCTCTGTATCCTTAGAAACTTCTTTTCTGTACATATCCTCCAATTAGTTTGTCGGAGTTGTCTATTTATTTTTGGAATTCTGCGTTTGCAAGCCCTTTGATTTGCAAATACTGCCTCCAGTCTAAGAGCATGTGTGTTTTTGAAAAAGTTAATTACTTTTTCTGTTCCTTTTGTAACATTGCTGTTTAATGTTGTTCAGTTATATTGAAATGACTTAACAATCGCCAATTTGGAAAAAAGAAGAAGGAATTCAATATTCAAACATTACTACACATTACGAGCAAAAGAAAGGAAAACCTTTAAGTTTATGCGTAAAGTTTTTTTTTTCTTTGCACATCTTTGAAAGTATAAGCACGCTTTTCTTGTTTTTGGACTCGTCCTAAGAGGATTTCAAAAAATGCGGCTGATTTTAAATGCCGAAACAAGCCGTGTTGAGAGTGTGAATCGTCCTATTTTCCTCCACACGGAGCCGTTTTAGCTGCTTACTCTCTGGGGGGACTCGGACTTTGTGAGGACACCCAGACAGACTCCTGTGATGTGGGTACAGGCCCGTCACGTGACCGGTACCATCACAGCCGGGAGTTGGACACTTTATATCCTTTTTATCTGTCCGTGGAGAATCTGCAGACACGGGCACAGGTTTCACAGTCAGTATAAATGCAAGAATGTTGCTTTTATTGTTAAATGAAACTAACATGGAGCTTTTAGTATGCTGTCCTGAACATGTAACAAGCAGAAAAACTGAAATATCATCCAGATAGCTTTTTTTTTTAAAAAGCATGCATCTATTAAGCCATCATTTTAGTTAAGGCTGCAGTTTAACACAGAACATTCACTTCTTAATGCCCATCCATCGAAAGATTACATCGAGGATTACACATTTATCTGCAGTCATTTGAAGAATCAGAGGGAAACATCAGAGGTACTTTAGCAGGATTTAAGACTTATGGTCATGGTTAAATATCCAGTTGATTCCTATCAAAATCCAATATTCTGAGTCGTACCAATTCCATAAAAATACATTCTTTATTTTTGTCTATTTATTTATTACTTCACTTGTTGCCAAAATGTTTTAGTCCTTAAGAGGATTTCCACTCTCTGGTCCCCCCCAACCCTCTGCATATGCTTCCTTTATTCTTTTCAGTGTTTTTTCTTTTCTTTATTATTTTTTTTTTGTGGACCCAATCTTCTAAAACAGTGTTTTATCTAATTCTGTCTCTCGTCCTTGAACATTTTTTATTCCAAGTAATTTCCTTAATGTTAATACCTTTCCCTCCGTTGTAGCTGAGCCTGTTGTCCATTTCCATCATCCTTTGGTGCCGTCTCTCATTGGTCATCTGCTCCAGCAGGAAGCGGTCCATCTCTCTGTAGGCGTGGTGCAGAACCTGCCTCTGCTCGGTCTGCAGAGCGATGGCCTGCTCCAGCAGACTCAGGTTTACTCTCCCTCGACTCATATCGAGCCCCCTCTCGTGGAGGCCCATCGCCCAGCTGTCTAGCCGAGGCAGCCTCTCCGCCTCTGCCTCCCCATCGCTGTCCTCCTCAGTGGGGAGCAGCTGGTATCTTAACGCTTCAGCTTGAAAAACACTTGCTCTACCTATCGGACCACCCAACTCTGGAACCAGCCCTTCTTTCGTGTGGCCGTTGCTGCCTGAATGCTCTTCAGAGGCTCTAGAGGGGCTGCAGTTTGAGCTGTTGTCCTTGGCAGACAGAGACAGAGGCTCCCACCTCATGTCTTCATACGGACTCTGTGGTGTGGATGCACCACTCATCCTGTCTTGACTTTGGTCTTCTTGATTGTTAGGAATATCCTCATCGTCTTCCACCAACAGAGGCCGGGGCATGCCTGGCTCTCCCTGCGGCGACCCGTTGGACATTTCAGGCCATCTGAGCAAACCGCTGGACGTTAACGCAGCATCGCTGAAGCCCTTTTTGCTGCCAACTCCATTGACTGCTTTAAAACAACAAAAACACTCATTATTGTGTGTGTTCAAGCCCCTGCACACTGTTTTCACACTTCAGTCACACACATGATAAGAAGTGTGTATCCTTTGTAATCTTCTGCAAATCCTTTTAAGGTTTTAGATTTTATGTCACTTCTATATGAATATTATCTTGAGAAAAACATGTTTTTTTTTACAACCATGAGGATTTATAAGAAAACATGCTGCGATAGAATGATTATCAGCTGTCATGAGGTTGCAGGAAGCAGTTCAGACATGTTTTAGATACTTCAACATAAAACCTCAACATAAGGGGAACAATTGCTTTCCACTTTGTTGTTGTTGTCTCCATTTGGAGCAACAACTCGGTATTGATTTAGAACAAGATTGTAAAAAAGGATTTAGTGTTTGGGAAGAAAAACACATTTTTATTTATTAGATGTGTGCATTTTTACACACAAGCTGATCAGCCACATGTCCTCTGACAAACACAATTTCAAAGAAAACAAGTTATTTTGCTTTTTGTTTAGGAATGAGGTCAAAAAAGTATAAAAGCTTGATGAAAAACATGAAAATTCCCATTTTTAAGCACTTTTAAATGACAAAAAGTGCAAATGTTAGATTTGTTATGGTTTTTTAATCACTTTTCTTTTCTTTTCTGAGGATTTTTAGATAAAAATTAAACATTGTCAAACTCATGTTATGTTAATCAAAATGGTGATTATTCAAATTATATTATAGTCAAATTTGTGTGAATTACGTGGTGTTACAGATAGCTGCTGTCCAAATAAATTTCCTGTTTTAATGCCCATATGCAGGGATTTATTAAATAATTAGAGATCTTGAATTATCTTTCGTTTTATAAAATTTTGTCGAACGGATTATTTTCAGAAGTGGCCGATCTCATAAAATGTGATGGTGTAAAATTATTAAAAGCCCCTGGCAGGCAAATGGGGCATATTACGTATTTATAAAAGGAATTGTAATCAATTAAACAGAAGTGCTTCAATTAAAAAGTCAAATTTTTATGCAAACTTTTCCTTGTATGGATTTTAAAATCATTACTACTGCAGATTATTAGAAATCTGTGTCCATCGGTTTTATTTTGTGAAGCTTTTATTGCTAAGTGGTCTCAGTAATTTAATTTGCATTGACCTCCGACTCTTCATCTTTTAAAATAAATCCCAGTGAAATACTCAGAACCATTTTGGGAAGCCTTAATGTTGATCTGCAGAGGAGACAAAGAGGGTTATCTCTGATAAAAGCATCGGAAACAACACTTTATTAACACATTAAGTCACAGTCAGTGATTAATCACGGAAAGCTATCATCTGGATTGATTCAACAAAACCTCTCTTGATCCTCAAACCGTTTAAACTTGTATTAAAGCTCTTTGGATGGTTTTAACTTTCTGTAGGCTGGACTGGAGGTCTTATGTCCACTTAAGTGGCCCGACATTAGGGTCCCAACCAAAAGTGGGATTGAGGAGATGGATTGAGTCAGATCACACAGTGCAAAGGACGAAACAGATACAGGAATTAGCAAAAATCTGTGACTTAGTAATAAAAAAATGTAATCCTGACCAAAGGAGCTTTAAAAATCACTGGAATTATGCGGTGCTTGTAAAAACAAAACTAACTATTTGTGGAAAGGCAGGATTTAGTTCATTGTTAAGTATTTTTCTGGCTTTATATGTCCTTATTTCATGTTGCACAGTGTCAGAATTCCCTGCAAAGACAAGAGAAATAGTGTCTGAAGGCTGAATGAAAAATTAAAGTCAGTTACACATATTTACATTTATGGAGCAAGAAGCAGGGGTTTTTGTTTTTCATCCAGATGGACTACCAGGCCTGACACAGCCGCATACAGTCAGGCAGTCACACACACACACACACACACACACACACACACACACACACACACGCACGCACGCACGCACGCACGCACGCACACACACACACACACACACACACACACACACACACACACACACACACACACACACACAGAAGTGCAGTGAAAAAAGGAAAGCGATGGAAGAAAAAAACTTGGATCCCTCCGGTGGTTTGTGTGTTGGAACAGGTGAACAGTTTGTACTCCAGAATAGCCATTACCAGCACTCTGCAGCAGGGCTGCAGTTGGCTGGAGCCGAACGCAGCGTGGCTCAACAAAACAAGAGGCTTATTTTTCTCCCTTTTTTGTTAAAATGCAGATATGACCAGCTTCCCACTGCAAAAATTCTTCCTGCTTCCAGTCCGCTTTTCCAATTTTTGTTTTTCCACTGAAAATAGCCCCCAAATCTGACAATAACAGCAAATTATGCTGCAAATATGTTTATCAATATTCTTTCTCTTTCTCTGACAGATTTCAGGCTTTTGTTTTTTGTTTGAGCTGATTTTTCTTAAACTCCACTTAATGGCAAATTCAGCTTCTGATAAATGAAGATAAACCTGATGCATACAGTGACTTATCTAAATAACTATAACATGACACAAACCTGGAAAACAAATAGATTATTTTTCTAATAAATCCACACAATTTAGCGAGCTACTCTCCTGGTCCATTTAACTACACACGTGTGTACTATAATGAGCTGAAGACATTATGCCTAATTATGTATTAGACTGTGTTAGAGGGCCTAACAAAAGCTTTTGAAAGGGACAATTACGTTTGTTGCTTAGTTACATCGTTAAAAATATACCAAATCAGTGCCGATTATAGTGGGTGAGAATGCACATGTAGACCACGAGCATTGTTGCCAAAATGCACAAAATTCTGCTAATCAAAAAAACAAATAAATAAAAAAACACTTGTCTTTCATGTGTAAATAAACAATTAAAAAATGTTGCTTAAAAATAATAATAATAAAATAATCTTTTACTTTTTCTCAGAAAGAAACTTTAGATTGAATTTCCAAAGGGGGGTTAATTTCAATCAAAGTGAGCTGGTGCACGCCTCTATTCAGTTCTTCATTGTATAGAATCAATGGGTTTATTCTGGCGTTTAAAAAAAGAGACAGATGAGGGGTCTGAAATCTGGCCTCATCAGAAGAGGGAAAAGACACGCCAAAAATATCATAGCAGATCAGCTGTCAAAACTTCAATTTGTGGACGTGAGACACAACTAATATGGAACCAGCAGTGTAGTCTTTCACTTGCACTGCACAATGACTGCGGCTGCTGGCTGACGGCAGAGGGAGGGAAATATGAATGCAACAGATGGGATTTTAAAATTCAGCGTCAATTGTTCATCAAAACAGACAAAACAACAGGACATCTGTTTACCTGCTGGAGTGTCAGTGTTCCTCGGCTCTTCTTTGTCCTGTGACGATGCCAGGTCCTCGCTCTCCTCTTCACATGCCTCGCTGGGGCTGTAGTGGCGGGGCTTCATCAGCAGCGACTTTCTCTTATTGACTGGGGCACCCTGCACCCCATCCTGAGCGCTCCTCTTCCTCGCCACGGACCCATATGGGCTGGTGGAGGAAAAGAAAAGCGGGGTCAACAGAGGTCACTGGATGCTCATTTTGACGCTCTAAATTCTAAATTTTTCATTTTCATGTAAGATTTGAAAAGATAAGTAGAATCCTACCTTTGGTTCTCGTTGATGGATTCAGTCAGGCCTGAATAAAAAAATCAAACATAAAAAAGATAAAAGGTCCTGTTTACATTTCCATCACAGTGGCACAGCATCTGTCGACATACTCTTCATCAAAGCTTCACTACTTTTGAACTATTGCTAATGAAATTTTACAATCCCCTGTAAATATTTGTTTTGGGTGATACGACCTGGGCCTTTTACCGAACATTTTATAATACCACCTTATCGGTATAATCAGCAGGCGGGTGTGGGAGGAGCAGACTCTGTATTGATCTGAAAAAGCTCCTCATTCAGGCTGCTCATCCTCTGGAAAAGTGAAAGTGGTTCATCCTTTGGACCGCATTGACAACATGATCTAAAAAGGGTAAATCAATTTCCCTGGGGGTCCCGCGTAAATCTCATTCACAAGTTTGACCACGACTTCCGTGAAGCACAACCAATAATAACGCTTTTTATGAATTCACCCAGGTGTGGTAATAGCTCCATCGTGAGCACGGAGGCCTCAGACACCCCCCCCCCTCCCCCACACGCTTGCATAATGACACATATCCAGTTTAGAGGTTTTCAATCACACAATATATACACACACACACACTCCTCAACTAATTTGAGCACGTGTTCCAATTTAATGAAGTTATTCCCCTCTGAATAATGAAATAGCAGTGCAGTGCTCTTCAGACTATGAAGATGAGACATAAAACTGACAGTTGTAAAGTTGGATTGTTGAACTGATACCCCTAACCTGTGATGATAAGTGGAGTGTGTGTGTGTGTGTGTGTGTGTGTGTGTGTGTGTGTGTGTGTGTGTGTGTGTGTGTGTGTGTGTGTGTGTGTGTGTGTGTGTGTGTGTGTGTGTGTGTGTGTGCCAAAAGCGATTAACGCTGTAAAATCTGCACTCACCCGTGCTGCTGTTGCATGTTTTCAAGGTTTGCTCCTCACCTTCAGAGTCCATCTGGAAGCAAATCAGAAAAACCTCTAAATAAATTACAAAAATACAGATTTGAATAAATGAAAAAACCTCATTCTGTGCATTTATGTAAAGTACAAAAAGATGTTTACACTGTAGGAAATGAAATGTTGAATTTACATAAATACAGAGGAATATTGCCATCAGTGGGGTGTATGGATGAGTAGTATCTTGTAATAACACGTAAGTTTTTTCATTATACTGAGTTTTAAATCTTGTTTAATAATAATAATAATAATGCATTGAACTTATATAGCGCTTTTCTAGACACCCAAAGACGCTTTCACAGACACTCACATTCACACACTGCCAGTGATGGTAAGCTACTTGTAGCCACAGCCGCCCTGGGGAGGTCTGACAGAGGCGAGGCTGCCATTTGGCGCCGTCGGCCCCTCTGACTACCACTAACACAGGCAAGTTGGGTGAAGTGTCTTGCCCAAGGACACAACAGCAGGATACCCCTGGCGGGAGCTGGAATCGAACCCATGATCCTCCGATCATGAGGCAACCCGCTCTACCACCTGAGCTACTGCTGCCCCCTAGCTACTGCTTAGCGTGAATCTGCCTTGTGATGACCACTTTTAACAGGAAAGCTTCTTGTTTAAACGGAATTTAGAACACGTTATAATGAGAAACTTTCTCTGCTCCAATATATTTTTTCCTCACATTGACGGTAACACGCTTTCATATTTAAAGCCCCAGTGTGTAATGTTTTTACTTGTTTGCCATCAGATTTTGTGTCACAAACTTCTCCTTTTTCATTAATATTTCTCAGTAGCGTCTATTATAAGGTCTCCTATTAGCATTAAATTTTACTTGTAGATAATCTGGTCGACCTTCTATAGTAGTGGGCTCCCTTGACATTTGGTGGCTGTTTATGAACATAAAAAGTATAGGGATGGCTCTGGTCCTCTTCATGGCAGCTTTGCTGGTTTGGGGAAATTCTACTCCTTCCTCTTAGGTTGCTTCCCTCAGTCATTGTTACTCACATATTTAAATAAATTTTAGAAAAGAATACAAGTTAAAAGAACAAATCTGGTTGCTGCAATGAAAACTGAAAGTCATTGACATATTATCTTTTTGATGCTAGTGGGCTACTTTAGATGCAATACCAACTTTGAACTGTGTGGCGCTAAAGAGTCTTTTTTTCTCACACTGGGCCTTAAACCAAGTCATATCAACTAGCTCCTCTAAACCTAGTTGCTTAAATGTAAAGAGTAATAGACATCTACGTTTAAAATAACACCAGATAACAATGAATATACAGAAACTCCATTTAATGGAACCAATTGGCTAAATATGGAACTATTTAATAAAAAGCTACATTTAAAATAAATAGTACCTCCACGGGCATTTAGAAGCGTGCAGAAGGAAGGTACATTATTTCCTTTAAAAGCTATATTCTAATAAAAAAAAATCAAATATTTATTTTGGTAGGCATGGCATTTACATCTACCAGCCAATAGAGGGCACCATTGCAGGTTACCAAACAGTCCGCTTGGTACAGCGAGACTAGCACTGTGGAAAGTGGTGAACTCTGCAAGTCAAGCAGCTGCTTCAGAGCCAAGAAGATGCCATTATCCTTCTCAGGACAGAAGTGACCATAAAAGATCTAAAACCAGAAAGAGTTTAGGTGAAGCCTACAAGAGATGGACCCAAATAAAACAGTTCACGTATCAGCAGCAAACCTGGTATCCCAACGGCTGGAAACAATTATGCCGGAACTGGAAACCTGCTTTGCCCGAGGAAACGAGAACGTGCTAAACACCAGTCAACGTTTCTAGGTCCAAACATCTTTTGCTGTCCGTGACTTCAAATGGTGTTTTTCTTTTTGGGACTCTGGTAGTTTGTCCTAAAGTTGAAGTGGTAGCAGCCGGCTGTTTCTCCATCTCTGTTATTATTGAGCAGAGAACCTCTTAAACCAGTGGTGTTCTGTTGCAACATACATGAGTATGTAATGAGTGGAGAACCCAGGGATGTGCGATAGTGTGTAGGTTTGGAGAGGCCGGCGACCAGGTGGTCTAATGGTTGCTTATGGTCAAAAAATGGGTTATTTGGTGAAGGTTTTTAGACAAATGCAAGAGAACCATTTTATTTCCTCCATAAGTTGATTGTTGTTAAGAGGCATAAACATTTTTTAAGCCAATATGTTTTCCAAATTTGCTAAAACAGTAAATTCAACACTTCATTTCTTACAGTGTAGATTTCTTGTTTTTGGACTCGAGCCATCGATCCGTTCAGTCTTAAAGTCTTTATTTGTGCCTGACATCACAAAGAGCTTCTAAAACACCAGTATGATTCAAACACGCACAGAATAGAGTCAAAATAATAATAAAATAAAAAACATTTCAAAGGTGTGTGAAAACATAACGGCACCAAATAACGATGCCATTTAAGTAGATGGTAACTCATAGTGTGTGTTTAGACAAAAATAGTTGCTAAAATCCATCCACTCTGGCTGTCTGTTGCTTGTGGATCCCAAATAAAACCTATTAAACATAATTATTCTAGGACGGTGGCTGTGTATAGTGGTCACAGGCCAGTGAAATCTGTGAGTCATAGGATATGCTGTTACTTTTCCCTGGTAATGGGAAACATGACTCCTCTCTCTCGTTTGCTGTTGTGATTGAAGGCACTGACCTGTCATACATTTATAATAGGGGAGCAGGTGTGGCAGTGATGGACCTTAATTTCCTTTAATAAACCTTTTATGTGCCACACTCTTAATGCCACGCCGGGCCCTCAGAGGTCCTGCTCATAATAGGTTCATTACTTTTGATTACTACTGCCTATTGAGACAAACAACTCCAAAACACTATAGATTACGTTTTGTAGAAATGAATGTACCTCATTAGTTTATAACACTTTCCCAAACAGACACGCTTCAACATTTTGTGTATATTTGTTGCTCCGAATGCAAAATGTTGTCCAAAAACATCAAGCAGACTGGAATTAGAACGCAGACATTATTCAGAGTTCAGCGGATCTTATTATGTATGGAAATATCACCACCAGCTTTGTGTTTGTTCTGTGCTCATGTGACATTTTAGTTTTTTTCAGTGTAAGCATAGAAATAGTATTTCAGGAAAGGTGTTTATAATATGTTAACATCTTCACTGGTTAATCGGGAAATGAACTACTATTTATCAGAGAATAATAAAAGTAAATAATGATTTCAATTTTTATTTCTACCAAAGGCAACACATTGTTTTCATTTTCACACACAAATATGAGAGTTTTACATAAATAACCAAAACAAAGCCAACAAAATAAATAAGAGAATGAAAGAAACCTTCCTGGAAGCAACTCATACAACACGGAGTGGTCTCATGAAACATTCAGGAAGGCCTCGGTAAATATTTGTGGTGTTTTAACGCAAAAATGTCCCAATGCGGCATCTACAAGGGCAAGTGTTTATTGCCAATTGTTTACAAAAGCAGTGCAAATAGCATAAAACACAGTCAGTGTCAGAAGAGGAGCTCGACCATGTCTTGATTTTTGGTTTATTAAAACCATCCATTTATTTATATATTTGGATCTTTACCATAAACAAGTAGCTACACACACACACACACACACACACACACACACACACACACACACACACACACACACTATTTAAGAAATAGTCTTGATTTCGTCATTTTGTGTGTGGGCTCTGTATTACGGTAACAAACTACATGAAGTCCATTGTGTGTATGTGTGTGTGTGTGTGTGTGTGTGTGTGTGTGTGTGTGTGTGTGTGTGTGTGTGTGTGTGTGTGTGTGTGTGTGTGTGTGTGTGTGTGTGTGTGTATTTCCTACATTATACACAAAAATATGTATTTCCTTCTAAAACTTGCCTCCTTGGCTTATTTTAACTAATAAATGTTGTGTACCTTTTTAGTTAGTAACAAAAATTCAGGACGCTAAGAACAATAATGATAATTTAATTTAACAAACACACTTTTTTAGTAGTAAGTTTGACAAGGAATGCAGTTCTTCCCATGTTTACTTGTAAAAGAGCCACAAAAGCCTGTTTTGTGTCTGTATGCATAATTTAAACAAAGGCATAGATCATAAAACTTAGAGGCTTGTCGTCAAACTTTGTCGAATACCTTTTATTTTGCCCATTTTTGTTAGAAACAACACACCAGGAGGCTTTGTCAGCTCACAGAACATAGAATCAGCTTTAAAAAGTTTATTATCTGCCCTTTATCGACTCTTCGAGAAGCTCTGATCCTCATCCGAACTGTTGCATAAACATTTAGTTGAATTTTCTTTACAACCAAACTTCCTTTTTGTCATTTTAAACGTGTTTTTGTAAAACATTATTTACCTTTGAGTGAAGTTCTCTGTAGGATAAGACGCCAGATCCAGTCAGTTCACCCTGGCTGATGCTTTCACACTTGCTCTCTCTCAGGAAGGGATCGTATAATTCATCATCTGCGACAGAAAAATAAAAATACCTTTAACTTTTTGCAAACATGAGCTTTTTTCATATTAGAGATCAAGCACAAGCATTGAAACCACGTTTTCTAAAGTTACGAGCGCGTGACACGGAGCAAGGCGGAGGCAGCACATTAATAAATGACATAGAGGGAGGATGCAAATTGATTGCTTGACAGAGATCACATTGCTTGCTTCTAATTAATACAAAATATCCAAGAGGGAAAACAAGGATGAACACAATGAGTACATTAAGCCTCTTCACTTCACAGATCTTATTATGGAATTATTTATTTCTGTTAGCCTTTTTAAAAAAAAGGACAGAAAAAGCGCACATCTTCTTAATTATAGCTTGCAGTGTTTCCCCAGAAAAACTAAATTGGGGGGGGGGGGGGGGGGGGGGGGGGAAGGCAAAAGGGGGAGTGGGTTAGCTGGAGGGGTTATTCACTCAGTCTAATTTGCATATGAAAAAAGACTTAGCCTACTACTATTCTGGCTGGTTTGTCATCTGCTGAATCATATTTATACCCTTTAACACACACTCATGCACACACTCTCCAATATAAATAATGCCTCTCAGAGGAGTGTTTCCCCACGAATGGGGCAGATTTCTCAGGGGGGAGAGGAAGCAGGCTGATGCCGAGGGGTCTACGAGATTTTCTATGTGTTAATCTGGCTGCTAACTGTCCTTGAGCCCAGCCCATTCCCCCCTAACCCCATCTGCTAGCATTCCCACCACAGAGCAGGGAGAATGGGCTGCAACTGGGGACAGAAGAGAGAGAGAGAGAGAGAGAGAGAGAGAGAGAGAGAGAGAGAGAGAGAGAGAGAGAGAGAGAGAGAGAGAGAGAGACCTTCCCAGTCACACAGTCATGAATAACCATTGCCTCGCACCATTATCAGATATCCTGCATGGGTCCGAGCTGAGATTGTAGAGCAAATGTGTGCAAAATAAATAAATAACACCTGACATTACTGAAACTGCACTGTTTTGTTGTGAGTGATGCTGTTGTTATTATTTTCATATAATGCCTTATTAATACTCTGCAGCTGCTGTGGATATTCATCACTGACCTTGAGTCTTTGTGTCCCCCATGTTCCCAGCTTATCCATCCACTTGGGACGCTCTCATGTAATTAACACAAACATTATTGTGACGGAGTAAAAAAGAAAAAAAAACTCTGAGCTGATACCTCATCTTGAAACCAATAAAGCACACCAGGAGTAGCAAAGTAAGATTCTGGAGAGCATAAAATTAATCACATTATTTACATTTCCTTTAGATAGGAGGTGCGCGCGATATGATGGAGGCAAATGAGATTACAGCAAAATAAGATTTCAAAATGTCAGAGCTGCACTCCTGACCAACCAACTGTTATGATTAGATTACTATTTTAATATAATTACTGTCTAAGGCTGTGTGTGGAAACAATGCATACATAAAACCAGGAGCCATGTATTAACTGATTCCCATCCTTTTCTCCACGAGTCTTTTTCTCTTAACCTTTCTTCAACAGTATCATTTTGAATTATAGAGAACGGATGGGTGCTCTGCACAAGGTCACTGTCTGGTGTGTACTCCCCCTCCTCCCCCTCCTCCTCCTCGCTCCTTGTTTTTGTTTCCTCTTCCAGAGGCACACTGAGCGAAGGGTTAAAACTGGAATGGATTTAATTATGGAATGAATGGAATTATAATGCGCCTGCAGCAAGTTTTCCTCCTTATTTATTAAAGCAGCTGATGGGCCAGGTTTGATGAGCCACTTCTGGCATAATTGAGTCATCACACAAAGAGGGTTCCTCGCATTCAGAGTGGTTTTATCAGCAGCAAACAGACCTGATTACTGGCAATTACACTCTGATCTAGGGGAAGGAGGGAAAAAAGGGTAAATGTGCGGGGTAACTTTTTGTGTTTATAGTTTACCCCGGGAATAATTTTCACATTAATTTTACATGCTAAGTGTTTTTCTGTTTACATACAATAAAGAGAAAACGGCAGGAGAGAGGACCTTTTTACTTTCATATTTCCTTGTAATGAAAGTCTTCTGGGGTGTGTTTAACTGGTCACCGTTTGTATTAACGCCAGAGGAGGTCTGCAGGCAAGCATACGGCCCGTTTAGCTACAGCTAAAAGGTGAGCTGCGAGGAATATACACCTAATTCCATTTTTGGTTCTTTTTAAAACACAGGAAAGGTTTTTCTGTTTGCCGACTGCAAAACACCCTCAGAGCTGACGCCGACGGTGGCGTCACTTCCGACTCCGTTTATCCGCGGGCAGCAGAGGACGTTGTTCTTTGCTTAGGTTGTTCTTTTCTTTCTGTAGTTGTTTGTTGTTTTCCTTTGTTTATTGCCCATGCCGGGTATCCGCAGGTCTTTAAAGCGGGTTGTATGTGTTTGTCCTCTTGTTTACGGTCTCTTTCTTCTGTTACCATGTTTGCTCTGTGATATAATGAATAACATTAACGACATAGGCAACACAAAGTTACATATGAGTCAGAAACAGAAGGCAGTATAGCATGTATGAACATGAAAATCACCAGGCAGACCGACGGGACCCTAAACATAAACACATATAGGAAACCAACACACACAGACCAATATTTATTATGGACATCAGAACACCCCACCATACACAAAATGTCAGTAATCAGAACATTATATCACCGAGCAAACATGGTAACAGAAGAAAGAGACCATAAACAAGAGGACAAACATATACAATCGCTTTAAAGGCCTGCGGATACCCGACATGGGCAATAAACAAAGGAAAACAACAAACAACAACAGAAAGGAAAGAGCAACCAAAGCAAAGAACCAGAAACCCAGAAAGACAAGAACCAAAACCAGTGATAACCCTACCATACATCAGAGGCATAACAGAAAAAATAAGAGCAACAATGAAAAAACACAACATAAACACACCAACAAAACCATACACAACAGTTAGAAGCAGACTAGTGCACCCAAAAGACAAGATACCAGCTGGACTTAAATGTGGAGTCGTTTACGAAATCCCATGCAAACTCTGCAATAAAACATACATAGGAGAAACCGGACGCCAACTCAACACACGAACAATAGAACATAGAAAGGAGTGCGAGAAAGAGACAAGTCGAAAACACACAAGAGCAGCAAAACAAGAAGCAGAAAGTACAATAAAGAAGTCAGCCGTAACAGATCACTGCACAAGAGAAAACCATATAATGGACTGGGACAACACAAGGATCATAAACACAGAACAACAGAAATAGAAAAGATGGATAAAAGAAGCTATCGAGATAAGGAGACGTGGATGTGGGACCATGAACAGAGACGATGGAGTTTAATCGTTGGATCGTGCATGGGACTGCATCATCGGAGAGGGGAGAGCGGGCAGCAGAGGGCAACAACGTCCTCTGCTGCCCGCGGATAAACGTAGAAGGAAGTGACGCCACCATCAGCGTCAGCTCTGAAGATGTTTGCAGCCGCAAACGAAACCATCAGCAAGGTAAAGAGAAACCATATCTGTGTTTGAAAAAGAACCAAAAATGGAATTAGAAACCTAACACAGTAAGAACACACCAAAGAGGAATATACACCAGCTTGGAAAGTACTCGCACCTTTCCAGGGGAACACACCAGTGATTGCTTTTGCTATTTTTCATTGAGATGCAAATAGATTCATGGAAAGTAAATTACGCCTTGGTCAGACACTGAAATCAACTTCTGTTCATAGAGTGTTTAGATAAACTAGTGTGTGTGTGTGTGTGTGTGTGTGTGTGTGTGTGTGCGTGTGTGTGTGTGTGTGTGTGTGTGTGTGTGTGTGTGTGTGTGTGTGTGTGTGTGTGTGTGTGTGTGTGTGTTTTCTTATCTTCTTTTGTGTGAGGTGGCCAGAAAGCTGTCAGACATCCTGTGCCTAAATACCAGCTGGACAATCCAACAGAAAAAATAAATGAGATGGGAAAACAAGGTCAAGCAAGATCTAATTTTTTTGCTTTTTTTCTCCTCTTGGATTTTAAAACTGTAACTGATGCATGTGAACTATATTTGACAGTTTATTATCAGTTATCTACGGAAGAGGATTAGGGACACTCTGGAAAAAAAAACAGAGTTTTCACTTTAATCTGAGAAACTTTTTTTTCTCAGAAGTTTGACTTTTGTGATCAGAATTCTGACTTCTGAGATTAAAGTCAGAATTTTTAGAATAAAGTTAGAGTCCTGAAATTAAAATTCTGATTTCTGAGATTAATCTCAGAATATGAATTAGGAGAAAAATGTTGGACTTCTGAAAAAAAAATCTTAATTTTGACATTAAAGTCTAATAAATAAATCAGAATTCTGAGATAAAATCTGACTTTTTTTCTCAGATTTATGACTCCTAGGATTAAAGTGAAAATTCTGAGGAATAAGTCAGCCTTCTGAAAAATGTCATAATTCTGAGAAAAATTCTGAATTTGGAGATTAAATTCAGAATTTAAAAAAAATTCTGAATTCTGAGGAAAAAGTCAGATTTCTGGGATTAAAGTCACAATTCATAGGTTAATGTCAGAATTATAAAAAGTCAGAATTCTGGGACGAAGTCTGATTTATGTGATTAAAGCCAGAATTTGGATATTAATGTTAGAATTCTGAAACAAAAAAATCTGAATTCAGAGAATAAAGTCAGAAATCCAAGAACAAAAGTCAGAATTCTGAGGAAAAAGTCAGATTTCTGGTTTTAAAGCCAAAATTCTGAGATTAAAACCAGAATTTTGTAGATTAAACCCAAAGTTTGGAGATTAAAGTCAAAATTCTGAAACAAATCAGAATTCTGAGATTAAAGCCAGAAATCCAAGAAAAAAAGGTCAAAATTATGATTTTTATCTTGAAATGCTGTCTTTTGAGAATAAACTCAGAATTCTGAGATTAAAATCCGAATGAATTTTTTTGTTGTTGGCCTAATCCTCTACTGCATTTAAACCCCCCCCCCCCCCCCCCCCCCCCCACACACACACACACACACACAATTTGTTGCTGTTTTTTAAAGTGGAGTTCATGTAGTAAAAGGTTTAGAGTGAGCTTCTGATGGAGCTCAGTCATTTTATATCCATATGCATCTTTAAACAAGGGCACAAAAAATCTGCATCTAAAGAAAATGAAGATTCTTCCAACAATTTCTGAGCATTCCTATGTGTAAACGAGTTTTGTGGGTTTGTGCAGACGCAGGCAAAATCTTGAAGTCAACTGCGATTTCATACATAACAGCCTCACAGCTACCCTGACGGCCAAGCAAAGTGTTTGTGCCTTTTGCCAAAGTGTACTTTTATAGAGAAGCGGATTGGCATCTTATCACTTCTCCAAGACAGAGATACTTCGATAAAGGAACACGGCTCTCAGAATTCTTAACAGACAATTAGGAGCCTGGCTGGCCACTGTCGCTTCAATGATTTGTTATGATGGCAAAACTACAGGGGAAACTTGTTATTGGACGCAGTTAGCAAGAGTCCCATGAAAGAGTCAGATGGTGACACCTTTGCCGAGGTGATTTATGAATCTTATAATCGCTTTCCAAAGTCATCCCCAAGCCCTCCCTCTAAATTGAGTTCATCTGGAGCTGGACCACACAGAGGCACCAAGTCCAGATCGTTTCTTCTGACATCAAAGAGCCAATTTCTGTTTTTGACCACATTTCTGGTGCTTTTAGTCCCCTTAGCTCATAAAAGGAGCCTATTTTATTTGTTAATTTCAATCAATCAGGAAAACCGGAATTTTGAAGCACATAAATATTTGAATCGTCTTCATTATCATTTATCAATAGCATAAAAACTAGAGCACACAAAATGTGTCCACTGGCAAGCCTCCAGCGTGCTAGAATGCTCTTATCTTAGCCTGAATTTTTGAATTCTGTCATGAACTGGGGTTTGTCAAACCTGTCTAATTTGGGGACAGGTGTTAGTGGGGGGGTGGGGGGGTAGAGAACTTCCAGCCCTGGTGCAACAACGAGCAGAGTAATCCTGCTCTTTGTTCCTGCCCGAGGAGCCCCTTTCATCGAGGAGGTTGCATGAAAGCTACCAGGTGGTCTGCAATTCTGCAAGCTAATCCCTCCCCGTCACAAAAGGCAGGTCTCCGGAGCTGGGGGTGGGGGCTCTCCGGGGGCCAAAGGGAAAAGTTTAGCAGAGACAACACGTCTGAAAGGAGTCAGGGGCTGGAGCAGTGATTCCTAATCAGATTGCGCTGAAGTGAACAGCTCGCATGGCAGCTGTAGTTTTCCCAGGGTTAATTACCTTTCACTGCTCTCTCTAAATGAGTCAGCTGTTCCTGTCATTAAACAACTCCACTCTATCTCTGCTCCTCTGTCCTCCTCGCACATGAGCACGAAGCCATGCACGCTCTCTCTCTCTCACACACACACACACACACACACACACACCAATGAAGAGATGCACCTCGCGCCTCTTTATCTGGAACATGCTGGGGATGATCAAAGACTTTTATAACATCAATTATTTTACCTTCGGTGAACACTGGGGATCAAGGCTGCTGTGTTTTCATGCATATGGGAGGTAAATACATCTCCATTACACGGATGCAGAATAGATCTGTCAAGGTCTCCCTTCTTGTTGCGGTAATTGAGAACATATAGGAAGCCAACACGCTCACATATGTGCACACGCAAACAGGAGCATACGTGCAGCAGATCCACGGAGAGTCCGGCTCTGATATCGTCGTTCTGTCATCAACTCTGAGCAGTCTGTCTGCTCACTGAGCTCCGTGGCTCAGGATGTTTAGAGGGGGAGTTTAAAGTGATTTTTGCCACTGTATGGTAAAAAATCCCTTGGCCACCTGGATTACAAACTCTAGTCCTTTAACTCATGCCAGTATAAATCCGTGTTAACTCGGATTTACCTCTGGCATATGAATTCTCAATCTGCGTAAGCTTTGTTTGGAATGAGGCGAACATCAGTGTTTCATGCAGTGAGGACGCCCAGTGTTATTTTTTTTAATTAGTGTGATTATTTCTGTAAAATCAGACACACTAAGATAGACTGTAGGGAGTGAATCCATCATCGGAACAACTCGAGAAGCCTGAAGCAGTACTCTTTTTACAGTCAAGAGGTGGGACCAGTGCAACCATTCACATTCAGGTGGAAGAGTGCAACACTGCACTGTGTAGTCCACGTTACCATGGCAACCGGTGTAAACGCAAAAGTGCATGCTGTGGTCAAGAGTTTTAAAAAGAGTTCTTATGTCACCAATATCATCATTATTTATTTTCCTGTTTGTCTGACAAACGTTATTTGTTCAAACACAAGATCTGGTCAGCTCCCAAAGCGATCACGATAAAATAAAAATATGGCATAAGCAGCCTGGAGGATCTAAATTAAGTATTATCCATTCTCACACACACACACACACACACACACACACACACACACACACACACACACACACACACACACACACACTTCTGGGATGTCAGAGTTAAGCCAGACTATTTTGTACTTAAAAGGTTAGCAGGGCTGTTGTGTGAGTTTGATCCATGCTTGCCAAATCAGCAGATGGTCCATGAATATGATTATGTGCATCAATAAAAGAAGTAATCTTTGACAAAATGTAAATTTGACTTAAGTCCAGGCTTTAATACACACCACAGACTTTAACCCACTTTCCAGCTTGACACTAACATGATAGGCTAATGCACTCTACATTTCTACAACAATCACTGCTGAAGCTTTTGTGCTTTTCCTTTGAAGATCAATAAAAAGTGAAACATATTTTCTATATTTGGGCCATCACGGAGAAGCAGCAAATGTGTTTTTGACTTTTAGTAAGTAAGCAGAAACAAACTTAAGCGTCTGCTCTTTTATTTTAAACGTAAACATTTTAGGAGTTTTTGATTCAACCCCTGCATGAAACTTTATCTAGAACATCTCAGACCACATCCTTCACATTAGCCAGTGTTGTTTTTACAGACGAGGCACATCAGTTGGGATTCAAACACACATAAAGTTAGAAGACAGAAGAAAGTTTCAAAAGCATTTGGGAAGTTAAGAGGCTGGATAATCTGAAGAAAGCATCAGCGTTATTGACCCGGTGGTTATCTGAGCCTGAGGCTTACACAGCAGCACAGCACATCCCCACACAGACAAACACAATCACTTGTCTCCTGCATCTAAACGCTCTCGTGTCAACATGTCCGACAGGGCTGAATCACAAGCTCGACTTACCAACGTGCCCCTTTTTAGCCTTTGTTTTGCATCTTTCAGGGACATCAGGGAGGAGATGGAGCAGAAGGATGTCGAGGTGGGGTACAGGGTAGTCCACAGCCTCGCTGCTGCGAGTGAGTGAGTGTGTGTGAGTGTGTGTGTAAGTGTGCAGGGACACAGTGATATTCCCCCGAAATGCAGAGCTTTTTTCTGTCTTTCTTTTTTTTTTTCTCCGTAGCCTTTGTGTCATTCACTTAACAACCAATCTCATTAGCTGCTGAGCTACAATGGGCTGAATTATTTTCTGTGTAAATACACCACATGGTGATCCTCAAGGTAAAATCTCTGAAGGTCTTTTTGATGACATAAAAGATAAAATCAACTCAGGAGAAAAAAATCAGAGTACAGTGATAAAAATAAAAACAAAAAGGTGATTTTATCCTCATTCCTACCATAAAGCAAGTGTTATTTGATATTTAGACTTTAAGAAAACAAATTAGGCTTTAAAAACAATTTTTAAAAAAAGTCTGAAAATATCATAAAAACATTTTATTTATTATATTTTATTCAATAATAATCTAATTGTTGCAATGCTGAGGCAATTCTGCAAAAAAAATAAACCGCCATTATTATACAAATATGAAGTCATGACAGCTGTCTATAAGCGTAAGGGAACATGTCTATTGGCCAACTTGACCCTTGTTAGAAAACAAAACAAATACAAAAAGAGAATGCTGCAGCCTGGGACTGCCGAGCCGGGTCACTGGAGATTTTCCAGACAAACGCCGCTCAGGGGAGGGGAGGGGAGGAAGAATAAAAAGGACAGGCTCAGAATCTCATTTTAACAGACCGCACACAATCTGGGCTCCCACAGAACTATCTCTGCCTGACCGCTTTCTATTTATCCCTTATCAGTGTTTACCAACCGCTAGTTTTCTTTCATTCACACTGTGAGGCAGTTCTCTTACTATCAGTCAACAGCTGACACCGTGGAACAGCCTCAAAGGCAAGAGGAAGGGATCAAAACTAAACCAAAGCTGTTTAAACAATACAACAGAGGAAATAAATTCATAAATCCTAATTCTTCCCAACCCACAAGGGTATAAGCAGATCCTTTATAGTTAGGCCAACAAACAAAACCACAGCCAATGAGGTACAACATATTCAAGGTAAATTTGGAAATATTTGGAATGGGAAAAAAATCCTGTGTAACATTAATTGGAAAGCTTTTTAACGCCTTGCCCTATCAAGAAATTAAATGTGTTCGCTTAAAAGGATTTTATTTCCCCCGTCCTTTATGATCTTTTCAGGAAAATCCCATCTGATTAATTATTGGTAACATTTTTAGATCATGTTAGAAAAATGTAAATGACATTAAACACGACTCAAACGCTTTAATAAGATTTTCTAATTATTATTAAATGCCAAAAATGTGCGAGTCTGGGTGGAATAAGTCCACTTGTGTAGAACAAAGCAGAAAATGTTTAAATTTTAGGTCATTTATGTCCATTTCAGAACACAAAATTGTCTTTCATTTTTTAATTTTTATCATCTTTGGCTTTATTTTAATGTCCGCGTCTCTCTAGAATTGTTCCAAGTGATATATGGCACCTGGAATAAATTCCCAGCATCCCAGAAATTTGGTCTAATTTAAAAACTAATCACAAACTAAACCTGGAACATTAAAGTTATGTAGATTAAAAAAAAGATTGCAAACATTACATTTGTTTTTCCTGTGGGAAACACAAACAGGTCTGTTTTTCTGTACAGCTTTTGAAAAGTTAAGTAATTAATTACATTTATCCTAGCGCCAGCTGCTCAACAGCAGATGGATCATTTCTGAGACCTTGTTGAATTAAATCCACATAATTCATTTTTCAGGATTAACTAAGTGAAGTTTGAGCAGAGGCGAAAACAGGTAACACCGTATTTCATAAACATGTCGAGCGAACACGATTGACGAGTTTCATGACATGTAAATAATAAAATCAATTTATTTCAATTCAATTCAAATTCAAAAATACTTTATTAATCCCAGAGGGAAATTAGAATTTAAACTTTAAAGTGATTTTCATTTTTGAAATAACTTATTTGAAGCACACAAGAGAGATTTAAATCTCCAGCATAGATGATGCGTGTTAAAAGAGGAGTTTGTGTGGTTTTTAATGACATTTCCTGCTAAAGCTGGTACCTTGGACAGCTCCTGGGTGGCAGACATTGCTCACATTAATTTGTTGTGTAGCAACATCCCTGAGCTTTGAAGGGGAGGGTGTGGAGCAGAGAGGAATAATGCCTCTGACTTATCTCTGCTTTACCGCACAGACCTGCCACAGCCACTCTGCTTTTATAATTAGAGCAAAGGTGCAACTTTTGTTTTAGCTGAAATTATCTCTGAGGCGCAACACGGTGCTGAAACGTCATTTATGGCTGAAGGAAATAAGTTTAGAGATTTAAAAAATGTGAAAATCATCTATTTTATGGTAGTTTTCCAAACATGAAAAGTGATTTTGTCCTTAATAAATATAATTCTACAACTTATATGAAATAAAAAAAATAATACTATCATGATGGGATTGTGAGTTCATCCAATAAGTTGAATTCTTAAAAAAATAAATTAAAAGACACCTTTCCCCCACGAGGGTCAACTTAAAGTAGGTTCTGAGCCATGTGTGTGCTCCGTGTTAGTAAATGATGAACTTTTCTAACTTGCCATCCAGCCTCCTGAATCAATAGTTGCTCTGGAGACTGTTGAGTGCTGCGACCCCTTGCATCTTGTTCAAAGCTAAGTCTTGCCCACGTCTGACACAAAAGTTCACTTTTAGACTATAAACATTCAGCATTAGCATAAAGTTTCTAAACTTTCCAACAGTTAATATGCAAATAATTGCAGAAAACCAGGACAAAAAGGGTTCACCTTTTGCCCCAGCTGCATTTGCACGAATCGAGAACATGCCTTCCAACTGTAACACGAGGATTGAGCTGTCATTTTGCTCTGCTGTCAGACTGCATTCAGAATTAGCATAGAGTTTTCAAACTTGTGCGTTAACCGAGAGCCCCGCCGAACAGGAAGCAATAAAATACTCGACTGACTTGCTGAAACATGTTATTGGAACACGGAGTCAATGTTTAAGTGCATTAGGCTCAGTGGACTTGTATGTACAGCTGTCACTGTCAAAGCCACAGGCAACCTGACAACGCTTTGTCTCTGCACACAATACAAACATGTGTTCTTCTAAGACAAGCTTACACGCCACACAAACGCAGCGGATCTAATCTAGGGAGACAGTATCTCATAATATCTGGATGATCAAAAATAGGTCATGCCTCTCAAAAAGCAGTTCGAGCCATTTAATCTCCTCTCAAACTGTCTGAAACCTGAACAGAAGCCTTACTCTTGCTTTCCAGCAAAGATGCTGCTTTGTATGGAGACGTGTGATGCTCATAATCCATGTAACGTTTCCTAAAGTTGCTAGTCAGGTAAAATGAATAAAATCTCAATCGCAGTAAGTTTGGAACAGTTTCTAACACGTGCCATCGACTTACTAATGCGGCGTCCACGAGCGCGGGCTAAACAGGCTTGCTCACACACACTGTATCAGTGATAATAAATGCTGACCAAACTGACAGGATATTAAGTAAAAAAGAACTTGACACCAACCTATTGCTGTGATCCAAAAAGTTTGATTTCCTCCCAGTCTCTTGATAGCTGAGCTGGTGCTGTGGCTTTGAAAGGTAGTCCCCAGGAATATGACATACTGTGCCTTTGACAGCCTCGAGATAAGCACCTGCGTTCGGGTCCCTTTTTACGTCACACCTCCCCATTCACAGCCCTTCAACATGATGCACATTTGCACATCAACAGCCACCAACCCCCCTCCTCACTCTATACTCCCACATCCGCAAAACACACACACACACACTCACACAAATAGGCACACACAAGAAGGAGGCAGATGCGTGCACCAGCCTGCACTTGCGCGCGCACAGACACCACAGATTTAGGCGCTCCCATCAGAGGATGAAACCTACACACAGGTGATTTTTTTTCAACTCTATCAGCCTCATTTGTTTAGATCCTTATTGTGTGTTTGGATGAAATAAACTTTCACTTGCTTTGTCATAAGAGCGGGGCATATGCCCTCCCGAGCTCCTCACACATCACTCATCATGCAAATGAGAGGGAATGTCACTCTTCAGCAGCAGATGGCCAGGGATGATAACAATGGCTCAACAGACCAGTTTCAATGTCTGTGACTTCATCGCTACGACAACAACAAAAATAGATATGAAAAGTCGGTTATTAATGTTTGTTTCTGGCGGTTTTACTCATTTTAAATGAGTTTAAATCTATGAAAAAAACTTTGTCTGAGATGTTTTGCCCCAAGAAGATAAGTGAGTAAAACACAGATACATGATAAGGATTTTTAGTGACTACACAAAGCTCCTGCCTCACAGTTATACACAAGTAATTAGGTGTAATTCCTCCCTGTAGGCCATGTTGACCCCCCCTTGGGTTAGCTGATGCATTCGACAGGCCCGGATAGAGAACGGCGAGGTATGAAAGGAAGAAAAGGGAACCCGGCGAAATCACAAATGCTGCTTTTCAAACACCTCCCCAGCCAAAGTGATGTCATCCTGCGTCCTGCTGACTCCTGTTCATACAAGCTCCCATAGCAGCGAGTAAACAGTGGAAGCGTTTAGCAAACAGGGCCAGATTACAATGACAAAGGCAACCACACTTCTGGGTGGAGCCTGGGGCGGGAGTGGGGGGTTGAAAGAGGGGTTGGTGTGGCTCGGGATTTTAAATAAGTGATACCCATAAGAGCGTCCCCCTCCTCCTCCTCAAGATCCTAGCCCTTCCCCAGCTGATGGTAAAAGGGGGCCACCCAAACTCCCCCCTCACCCCCACCTCGCCCCCGGGGACTGACGTGAGAACACAATATGTAATAATAATGAATTTTTAGCTCCTTTTTCTGTGATTTGTGCGTTTGGTGACGCAAGGCCGAGGATGCAACTTGAGGACGGTGAATATCATTACTTAAGGTTTGGCAGTTGATCATCACCTTGTTTAATGCCTCATTTGAAAGTCTAATTTCTAACTGTCTTCAAGAGCCAATTCACGCTACACTGTGAAAGAGACGTACAAAGAAGGCAGACGTGCTCCGGTTTTACCCCCTTTTCCACCACCCGTGTCTGGTAATTGTACAGACACATGAAAGTCAGGACTAATCTATCAAAGAATCTCATCAAATATCATGTTTTTTCTTATTTTTTTGTATTATTATTATTTGCAAATGCAGACAATCTCACAAACAGCTTGTTCTGGGAGGGGAGGAGGGGGATGATTATTTCATGTTCTTGACATAAGTATTGTTTGCAGCAAAAAGGAATCAACTTACGTTAAGCAATCATGGCACATTGTGAGAGAGCAACATATTGAAGGCTGAACAACAACACCATTACAGAATGGAACATTTTCTTTTCGCCCCAACATCTGTTCAAATCGAGGAAAAAAAACAAGCCTCATTCAGAGCCGACACACAACATAAACTAGTGTTTTGTCGAGGCTGTTTCATCAACTGAAAATGTGGGCATCATTGGAGAGAGCTGATGGAGAAATGAAAGAGGAGTGGGTTGGACAAAATTACATGTCAAACAAGGGTTCACGTTTAAAAAGTCCTGCTCATATTTGTAGAAAGTGTTTGATTGCATTTAGAAAGGTATTACAATGGGTCACATCTGTGTCTAAAAGCTTTTTGCATTCTGCTGCAAATTATGTAAGCAAAGTGAAGTGTCATGGCACCCTGTTGTTTTTGAGCATCACCTTCCTCCCTGTGAAACCTACACAAATATGTTTAACTCAATTCTTCTAATGCGCGGTGGGATCAAAGTGTCAGCGCTATAACTTCAACAAACCCTCTCACTCAGCTACCCCGCCCTGTAATTTGCAACCAAAAAGTAACCCGACTAATTTCACATGGCAGTCTGTACAGACGAACAACAATGCACATCCGCCGACCCATTCAGCGTGATGCACGTGTAAAAAATCTGCTTCAAACTGTGTTTAATTCCAGCCTGTGAGCTCGGTCGAAAATGACAGACGTGTTTCTTCTTGGTGGCACTGAACCCTCATTGTGCAGCCACTTGATGCCGCTTGTTCATCACACAAAGTCACATAAAGGCACTGAATTAAATTTAAGAAGAATATATATTTGCATATGCAAATATGATAAGCCAAACACAAGTGCATGCCGATGTTGATGTGGCTCCAGGATGTAGAACTATCTTTATGTTAATGTCAGGAGACAGGGATATACTCTTTAGAAAAAAATACAGTGCATTTTTTATGGGGATCATTATCTACACTCCGTGTCACTGTGTTTGACTTAAAAAGAAATGATTAGATTACTTCCCCAGCAATCCCCTCTTGGGTAAATTGTGTGTGACCGTGGGCAACCTGACAATATGTTTATTCAGTGTCCTTTGAAGACACTTTGATTAGATTTGAAATGTTTTATGGACAAATATAGCATGTTTTCTCTTCCTACTTTGAACTGATGCAACAGGAACAAGAGCTACGGCTGCATTTGAATCCGCTGTCCAAACTCATCAGCGTCTATTAGGAAGACTTTGGACCCATTAGTCTTAGCTGAATAAACCTAAATTTGATTGTTGAGGTTTAATCAGTGAGAATGCATGCTCACTAAAACTAAAGATTAATTTTATCAGTAAAAAGAGAAAAATAAAATCAGAATCCAATCATGGGCGCACTTTGGATTTACTGCCTTCAAATCAATCCACCTGCTAACTTGATGTTGACTTTCATCAATTGCTCTTTGAACTGCACAAAGTGCATCTGTTGCCATGTCGCTGCTACAGCTGCAACAAAACACTGGCCTCATCCTGTTTCATTCATTTACTGAATTTTCGCATTGCAACTAACAGATCCAGTTTAAAAACCTCTTTAGGATGCAAACTTTGAGGGCTGACATGCAGAAAAGCATGTTGCATGCATGGCACTCAAATAAATGAAACTTCTTTAGTGCTAATACACAGTGTAGCTGACTTTAAAGGTGCAATATGTAAGAATGAAGTCAGAATGGCATCCTGTGGTCAAGGTTACTGTAATCACACTTTCACTGCACACTCTGTGAGTTTCATGGCTGATGCCAGTTACGGATCAACGCCAGTGGATTCTAGATGACAAGCGAAGACCAGTCAGTAATTTGATAAGTAGATAAATACATAAATACAATGTTATATCTGGTGTTAGCACTCTTGTGTGTTTTACGGTAGGGAACACTTATTATGGTAATATGTCTCCAGCACTGGAGGAAGTGTGATTGTTTGCTGTCTTGCTGTTAGCTTTTAGTTATAGTTTTGAACAAGTCATTAAAGGGAGTAAAATGCCACGATTGACTTCACACATACACGGCCATCCAAAAAACAGTAACCACCTGGATTTAAGTAAGCAATAGGTAAGAGACTCATACTGGATAATTACTGCATGGGCGATTATCTTTCCGCTGGCAACGTTATTTAACCTCAACTGGTGCAATGAGTTGCTTCTCATTTCTTAAACAACCATGTGGAAAGACGCATTTGGGGGTTGTGGAAAAGATGTTAGTCTCTTTGAGAAGGATCAGATCATTGGCATCAAGCAGAGAAAGCATCTAAGGAGATTGTAGAAACAACTAAAATTGGGTTAAGAACTGTCCAACGCATTATTAAAACTGGTCTGATGAGTATATGGACCCTGTTCTAGAGTGATGGTGCATCAGGGTGAGAAGAGAGGCAGATGAAGTGATGCACCCATCATGCCTAGTGCGTACTGTACAAACCTGTGGGGGCAGTGCTATGATGTGGGGTTGCTGCAGTTGGTCAGATCTAGGTTCAGCAACAGGATGTGCTCCATGAATGAGGTCAGCTGACTACCTGAATATCCTGAATGACCAGGTTATTCCATCTTCCCTGATGGCACGGCCATATTCCAAGATGACAATTCCAGGATTCATCAGGCTCAGATAGTAAAAGAGTGGTTCAGGGAGCATGAGACATCATTTTCACACATGGATTGGCCACCACAGAGTCCAGACCATAACCCTATGAGAATCTTTGGGATGTGCTGGAGAAGGCTTTGTGCAGCAGTCAGACTCTACCATCATCTACTATCTACCAATGCTAGATCTTGGTGAAAAATTAATTCAACACACGTGGATGGAAATAAATCTTGTGACATTGCAGAAGCTCACTGAACCAACGTCACAACAAATGTGCATCATAATCAAAGCTAAAGATGGTTCAATGAAATATTAATGTATGTGACCATTTTTGGCCAGCGTTTTTGGTTGGCCAGACTGTGCATATTTCATTGTAGCATTGAGTTGTTGGTAATTCAAAAAGTAGCTTCTAATCGGTTCTAATTCACCATTAGCATTGTTAGCTCAACATTAGCCTCTAGCCTGATTCACCCGATATTAAAGTAAAACAAAAAGATATGGTGGCTTCTTAGGGAAACGAGGAATAACTTATGGGTCGCTCCTGTTTACTGGATTCAGTTCTTTAAACAACTCTGGAGATTTTTGCCTGCTGGTGTCGAATTACAAATACCGGTGCTGCAGCATTAGCTCACC